AAATTGGCTCTTTTCTTTCCCTCGAGTCATTTTGTCTGTGTGTGGAAAAAGTGAGATAACCGTCAGCTGTTATAGACTGCTTTATATAAGAGAGAAATTCTTCTTATCAAAAAGGTACGTATAACAATCATGATGCTCATTTTACAAGCAGAAAAGGGGGGGGGGGGGGCGTTCTGAACCTAATTTGTGCATCGAAAAACCTGAAAGGCGACATACTTAAATCTTGATCAACATCAGGCTGCATAAAGGGTTAACGGTCCTACAAAAAGCGCAAACAAGCAAAAGCAAGTGTAATCAAGCGTAAATAGGTATAAACAAGCGAAAACTAGTGTAAACAAGCGCAAATAACAGTCAAAGAGGGACAGTAAACATGAATTAAGGTGGGTTTATACAGAGCGCGAACGCGAATGCGACCGGCGCGACCGCGACCGCGAACGCGACTTTTCATCAGTTTAGTCATTCAAATAGAGCGCGAACACGAACGCGGAAAACCGTCGACGGCTTTCAATGCGGATCGCCTCTTTTGTTGTTAAAATTTGGTCATATGGTCATTTTGGAATCATCTCTCCGATTCCCTTCCAAATATCTTTCTTTTTTACTGTCTCTTTGTAAGTTTTTTCAGCTTTGTCAAACAAAACTGGATTCTTATCAACTTCTAAAATCAAAACTTCCGTTTTATCCATTGTTTGTACCCTACAAGCAAATTGGAAAAGCCATGTGCACAAGTTTCTATTTTAGGAAATGATGCAAGGGAGGTGGTACAAGCTGATTGGTTGATAGCAAGAAATCCGCCGCGACTTTCTGAAAAATTCGCTCTTGGGGCAATCTCGGCGGTCGACCGCGCGAACAAATATTTGTTCGCGTTCGCATTCTATTTGAATGGTCCCTCTCTAAAATGATGAAACCATTCCATGACGAAAAACCGCGTTCGCGTTCGCGTTCGCGCTCTGTATAAATGCACCTTAATACTATATAATATCGATCGATATCAAAGGATGTGGAAACGATTTAGGTGGACGGACAAAAGTCCCCACGGACAAAAGCCCCTCTGCAATTTTGCACCAGGACAAAAGCCGCCATCACCTAGGACAAAAGACCCTCGACTAAAAAAATGTGTATATATTATTGTCCAGTATGCGTTTCAAAGAAATCAGCCAAAAGAAGAAAAACAATTTTACGTGTTATGAAATTGATTGTTTCCAAGCTACTTTTGTGTATCGTCTGAATAATTGCCCGTTGACATGCCTTCAGTATATTGTCGACACGACCGTCCATAGACAACTCTCAGACACATTCAATGACTAGCTGTCAAGATAAATCCATTGAATCCAATTATTCCAAAATAATGTAATGCCAGTTTACTCCCATTTCACCAAGGATTTTTTGGGTACCGAAAGTACCCGATCTATTTTTTGGTCGATCGACCTCATTTTTTGCAAAAAAAGTCGTGAAACTGCGAGAATTATCGAGCATTTCCCCATACATTCGGGGGAAGATGGATTCAGTTCTCATAAAAGTGATCGGCTACTGGTTTTTGCTGTCGGCTCGATCTGGACCAGATTATCTCCGATGATTAAAATATTTAGCCTCTAATCCTCCTAAATCGCCCCTTTTTACCCGATTGAATACCGACCATTGGACCATGGCATGGGTAGGGGAATCACGGACGTTCCTCACACTACTGACTAGTTTCTGGTACGTAAATGTGCGCCTATGTATCCGAAAGTATAACCCAAAGACCCGATGGAGGCCCGTGAGCTAGTAACAAATCTTCGCGCATTGTTCGGTTGAGGGGGGGGGGGGGGGCGAAAATTGACGATCCCGGCTCGAGAGAGGACGCATTCAGTCGCTTGACTGTCGATATCTGCCATTCTTTGCGCGAGAGTGGCCGAATGTAGGCGTTAGTTGACACAGGAAGCCACAGGATATTTTGGCACAAACCATCACGGAGGTCGGCTACCTGCGGGGGGTGATCGGGCACTAATGGGCGAGGCGGTCGTCTGAAGATCAGGGTGCTTCTTATATGCCAAAATACGCACGACCCTCCATCGGATGACTAAGACGACACCGGCCCTCGGCTTTGATCGGATACCAAAGGTATAAGGTAGTGCTCGAGAGTGGTCGCAGGTTCCCGAATTTTTTCTCTCGAAATATGCGGCCGATCGACATAAAATGGTCGGTATTGTCGGGGCCTAAACATTCCTTGGAAAAATGGCATCATAAGCAAACCGTCCGAAGATCTTGTAATTTCGGTTTCTTATACCTACGTCTACATTTGGCCACTCTTGGTCGAAAAACTCTCACTTGCGTTGAGAAGCGGGTCTCTACCGGTTCTTTGTCGTGTACCTAAAATCGATCTGTGATTCGTCCCTTCGCAATAATCCAGTGGTGGGGACTCAATCGGGTTAAAAAAGAGGACTACTTGGTGCGATTCAAGGCAACAATCGGGCCGATAAAAAAATCATAGTGACAGTCTAGTACAGATTGGGCCGATTGGAATAAAATAATCGTTGGTGAAATGGGAGTTCAAGTAAGCGACAGTAGAGAAGATAATGTTCGGAGTTTTCAAAAGGATGTCCACATGAGCAGGAAGGATTGTCAGATATGTGCATGAAGTGTTTGTGAGCGTCAAGGACTTCTGTTGTGATTTGGGAATTTGAGAATATCAGTTGTCGAGACAGTAGTAGTTCATAGTTTCACTATTACTATTTGATGTGGTAAGTCGAATGGTAGGGTAAGAAAGAGGTATTGTAAGAAACTGTATTCCAGGTGAGGTTTGAAAATGATTTGAATAACGTAAAGGATATGATATGACATGAAAAAAGCATTCGACACCGTGAATCGCGACTGCTTAAAATATGAACTTCAATCTATTGGTATTCATGGAAGTTTCATTGATAGCATTTCAGCTTTATATTGTGAAACATCTTATTCGATCAAGATGTACCTTGGGTGTACCTAAGCGCACTTCAAATCTAGCAACAAGGGGTGATATGGGATGGCTTTGCAGTGACGCTATTCTCAAAGTAGAAGTTTTTAGGCTCTGGAATAGAATACAGCATAGTCCGAATCCCCTATCCAAATCTGGACATAACTGGTCACTGAGGAGGAGGTCCTCTTGGGATGGTAGAGTTTTGAAACTTGGTAATTATCTTAATGTAATTAATGATAACAATTGTGTCAATATTAACTCGTTATGGAAAATATTGTGGGTCAATGACCAATGTGACTGGAAAAGGCAACTTTAGGATCGTACCTATAGACACTTTAAATATTTTATTTATACAGAACCTTATGTCACCAATTCTGTGCATAAATGTACCCGTAAGGTTATGGCGGAATTTCGATGTGGTAGTCTCCCCTTAGCAATTGAAACTGGTAGATTCGGCAATCCATCCACCCCCCTGAACGAGAGACTGTGCACTATGTGTCAACTTAGAAAGGTTGAAGATGAACAGCATTTTATTTTAACATTTTATGTTGACCTTAGGTATGACCTTTTTGCTAGAGCCAACGTTTAAAACCCAGATTTTAAATACTTAACAGATGTAGAACAGCTAAATTTTTTAATGTGTAACAAAAATATTATTTTTCATTCCTCAGCATTCCTCCGAAACGCCTTTAATAGACGAAAGCGTTTTATCATTATCTGATCCATTTATGTCTTATTTTTTTCTGCAGTCTCGGTCCCAATATTTTACCCTAGTTTAACTTGTACAAGTTTCTTTTAAATTAGTTTTAACAAAATATATTCATATGTTTATATATTTATATATTAATATATCAGATATTTATGTTTTGTTGATATGATTTTTACTCATTGGAATTGAATTAGACCAGTGTCTCATAAGCCAACCTGGCTGGGCAGCATTACTTTTATCTTGTTATATTTGTATATTTATATGTTCTATGCTGTGTGACACTTTAATAAATAAATTATTATTATTATTATATGTAATGATTGAGACAGTATGTAATGTGGTGGTAACAGAGTACTTAGCTCTCATCATATTGATCATTTTATAAAACAGTAATGACTTATGTAAAGTACGACAGTCACTTAAAGAGGTTAAACCTGATTCTTTATACAAGATAGAGTGTGGGGTTCCGCGTACTATTCCAATGAGTGATCTTAAGGCGTCTTAATGTATTTCTAACTTGACACAATCGTGAAGGCTACAATTATTCCAATGCATAATAATTAATAGGAATTATGAATTGTGTGTTCAAGGTTTCTAATGTTTTTCGAGATATTCTGTATAGTGTGCTTCTCAGACAGTCTATCATTTTGGATGTAGTCGATATGGGCCGTCCAAAGAACAATCTTAACTTAAAATTACACCAAGGTGTTTGTGTGTGTCTGAATTTTCTAATATGTGATTGTTATAAATATAAGGTAAAAGTGGAGGGCTCTAGCTTTCGACAAACCTTCTCTACCTTCATATCAAACTTTGGGCCATATTTTGGTATCATATTTACTACCACAAGGAAGCTATCAGAGTTCACTGTGTATAGTTTGTAGAACGTATTTGACAACTTGTGCAGGTTAAAATGTGTGTGCTAGATGGACACGATCAATTCGTATTAACATCCCTTGGTCGTGTACGATAGAAACCCCATCTAATAATTGATTCATGAACCAAGTGGATAGTGAATTAATGATAAATTACTCGAGTATCTGACTGATTGAATCAAATTGATCAGAATTCATCAGTCGACCAATATAATTAAAATTAGATTACAATTTTGTATCTTTTTCTGATATCTTTTATCTACGTTGTGATCTAAATAGTTTTCTAACAAAGACCAGTCCCAATGATGTAATTTTTAACCAATCAAACGGGTCATGTAACGCCCGTTCTTGATAAGGAATTGTGGGATATCGAAACCTATAGTAGAGAAATATGACAGCCTCTATGAGTTTCCTTATCCCACAATTCCTTATTTTATCAAAAAACGTGGTTTTTTTGTTGGGGGCTCGGCGAAAGAAAAACCTCAAGAGAAGACACCATATTTAATATTTTGGTCAGTTAAACTGTACAATATACAAGTCTCAACAAACAAAACTTAGACTTCCACACAAGAAGTTGTTAGTTATTTTATCTACCTAAAACACTGTCAAATCTAACACTACCACAGGTTAGTAATGTACACGAGATCTTTAGAGGAGGAAAGACAATAGAAAGTAGCTCAAGGCTTTCAGAGGAAAATAGCAATTTTTCTCATCCTAGGATTTGACAAATGGTTTTCTTGCTTTAATGTTTTATTTGCCAGATGATAGTCTTATTGTAATTTCAATGAGCCACAGACAACGGTACAGTAGAAATAGTAGACATACATGAATAGAGAAATTTGTCATATATATTTTCTAGTGCTTAAGGCAATCCATATATATATAGCATAATACTTATTGTGGTTTACAATTCTATTGGTTTTAGGTAGATCGTCATAGACATTCATTAAAATTGTTATAAAAACTTCACATATAAATGACGATAAATTGTTTAAGAAATATTGAACAAACTACACTTAATAAACTAGTGTATTTAATGCTAATTTATATTTCCTGATATACTACTTAAGATATTGTGAAATTGTTATTGTTTGTGGAATTCAATTTTTGTGCCCAATCAAAAATTCCCAACTACAAAAGTATATGAAATGTGAATATCATTTTAAAACAAAATAAAAAATTGAAACCCATCAGTTTTTGTCTTTTCAATATTATCAAAAATCATTTTAAATATCAACCACAAAGTTTCGTTTTATTAAAAATTTAAATCTCAAACATTCCATTACAATGTGTTTTATTTGTTCAGACAATCAAATAATTTGTTCTTAAAGGGACAGATGCCATTTTTTTGACCAATCATACTTTAGTCTCAGAAACTGGAATTTTTTTAGCTAAGCTAATCAGTAATAGTGTTCACACTTCACAACAGAAATTTGAGCTTTCAAATCCATGTGCTGTTGAATGTTAAAATGACGACTCGTGACTGTGATATATAGAAAAGACATATATAGAAATAGTGAGTAAAATTCCTACAATTTTCATACATTTCTAGTACTTCTGAAGACTATTTACTTATATTTAAGACTAAAATCAATCCCCCAAAGTGGCACATCTGTCCCTTTAAAACCTAATTAAGATAATGGTTTCATTGGTTGAAAACAAAACCACCTTGACAAACAGGATTTAAAGTAACAACAATCTTAAGGTAAAGAATTGGATTGAACTTTACTGAAAATTATCAGATATATTTACAGTATTTTGTGTCTTTATCAAGTATAAAGACACTAAAACAATTGTGAACAGCTTCCTGTCCTTTAAGTTATGTTCCTTAGCTTAGCAGAAACATGAACAAGAATTTTCCAGACTGATTATGTTCTGAAGGATCCAATAAAAAAAGAAAGGTGGTGTAGAATAAGGTTTATCAAATACTTTTTGTATAAAAGATTGAAAGAAGAATAGCATTAGCAATGAATTGCTTTATTCAGTGGGTAAAAGGATGCCAAACAAAGGAAATTATTATATCCCAATATTTTGTTTCATTCATTGTACATGTATAAAGGGAGAAAACCATGTATGAAAGGGAATTAGAGATGAGATGCTAATATTCAGGCTGCATTAGACAGAGCTGCTACACCTGGTAGAGTTTTACCTGAAAAACAACAAAAACACAAAATAACACAGATTCTAGCCAATGTGAAATGTTTCTAAGAACTCTGGATCTTGATTTACCACTATATCAATAAGCATACCTATTAGATATATTATTTGCAAAGCACTGCATATAAGATTTCATGATAATATTCGAAAAGAAAAATGAATTCAGTGCAAGTATTTGTTGAAGTAACAAGTACAGTGTAATATTGAATTTTCCCAAAGTATAAAAAGATAGCTTGCCAGGCAAGATAACATGCCCACTGGCAGCTGTCAGTGATGATAACTAAATCTTTATTGAACAAATATATATTAAAGATCTTAATAAAAATACGTAATTTCTCATATTGAAGATCTTCATTATGCATTTGAATATCTCATCAATTTAGGGTCAGTTATGCTGAGTTTTTTCACAAAATCTTTTTAAATCAATAGCAATAACCCAGAAATATTAAATTATCCTTTGAGATCACATACATGCATACCAAGTTTCATCAAGATCAGATAAAAACTGTAGCCCTTATCATGCATGCAAGAAATGTAGATGGAGGGGACCAAATTTCCATGTAGGAGTATAAAAACAAAACCAAAACTAATAGTTATGATCAGAATTTGCCCATTAACCAGGTACATCACATTTATTTTGTTTTATCGGTGTATGGCTCTTTTATTTTGAGATATACTAATATTACTATACCTTCTAATAACTCTAAGCTGGCTCCTCCACCAGTGCTTACATGACTAACTTTAGACTCTGTGTTATATTTTGCAGCACAAGTAGCTGTGTCACCACCACCTGAAAAATATATGGTTATTATAAAAAAAACTATGACACATCTTTTGTAAAAGCCAGTGACAGTTTTAAAAGTCATGCAGTGTACAATAAGAGAACTTTTGGTGACCTACTTCTAAGGGACATGTTTTGAAGTCGTAAAAGACAACAAGGAGGCTGAGATAATGAATTCTGAGAGATTTTTGGTAAAATAACTCTTGGAGTGTGAAAGAGAAAGATTGGACAGTGCGTTAGACTCTAAGGAGATTTCTTCGAAGTTTGTTGTTTGGATTCAGAATAAATGACAACAGCACTGGAATGTTTCTAACAAACATTATATATTATGTTACTGAGCCAGTAGGAAGTGGGATGTCAAACCAACGAAATGAACATAATTCCAGCATTTTGTTTCATTCATTGTCATTTGAATAAAGTCTTTAAATGGCATTAAGAAATTGTGAGTACAATATATAGTCACAGCTTTATGGAACAACAATCACTGTTGGTTCATTTGTCAGACATGACCGGCAAAGCCGCTCATATGACCCTAGCCATTACTTGTCAAATGTCGGTCAAATGCAAATAGTTATATCAGCAATTATTAGCCATCTGTGTAAAAAACTGAAAAAGCAGGCAGAAAAGTTTCCTTACCAATGATAGTTGTAGCACCATCCTGAGTTGCAGCAACTACAGCTTTCATCATTTCTTTTGTACCATCAGAGAAATTGGGAAATTCAAACACACCAGGTGGTCTAAGATAATTCATTGCAAGAATGGTATAAGTTTAACATATTTTGACGAATATCTTACTCAATATTTGTCCAACATATCTGACTTGATTCCAGCATTTTTAACCGATTGTAAAATAACATCATTCATTTAGTGAAATGAAATGAATGGAGTTTTACGTCCTACTTTTCTGCGCCATGTGGGCTAAGGAAGACAGACAACGCCATGCAGGGTGCAATGAGGAAAATTTTGCCAGGACTGCGGCATTAGCCTGCTCTTTTTCGATTTCCAACTGTCGAGGTGTCTGTAACGTGCACAGTCTGTAGCACACAAGGCCTTGGTAACATTGATTTAGAGTCAACACCTAATTAGGAAATCTACCATAATTACACAGAATTCACTACTTCAGAGAAAAAATATATGTACAAAAAATGAAGTTGGAAAATTTCAACTATTTTGGACCTCAACAGTAGCTGTACTAACTAAGACTCATTCAGGCATGAGGAACAGCTGGGAAAGGGCAATCTAAGTTAAATCAAATGATCTTTACTTTTAGAGAATGTTTTCATCTGAAAAGTAGCTCAACTGAAGTTTTACCAGCTGATGAAAGGACTAATTGGATATAATGATCATTTTAAATCTTACCCATTCCATACGATAGTTTTAGCTCTACCTATAACTTCACTAAACTGAGCTCTTGTCTTTAGGCCAATATCAAGACCCTTAAATTAAATAGTACTATATTTGTTAAAGTCAACGAGTTAGCTAGCTTTGCTGAATAAAATTAGTAATACAGTGAAACCCCTCTAAACTGCATCCTCTATAAATCACATCCTCTATAAACCGCATCCTCTTTAAACCGGTTTCCTCTGTAAACTGGTTTTCACTGTAAACCGGTACATTTGAAAAATCCTGGCCGAATCACTATATAATATAGAGGAGATAAACCCTGGTAAACCGGCACCCCTCTTTAACGCAATCTGGCATCAAGTCCTAAAGTAGTTAATCTATAGTTAATTAGTCTCTCTAAACTGGCATCTTAATTAGTTCATGTATTAATTGACGTTAATCCGTTGACGACATTAAACATAAATATCACATGTGCCGTGACCAAAGTAACAAATGAAACGATTAATCCCTAACTGGCATTTGAACATTCAGTCATATCCTAATCTCAAATTTTCTATAAAGTTTAAATCAAAATCTTGGAATGCCCTAGCAAACTTCAACGTGTCATGCAAAGGGAATTAATTGTTAATTATAATAAAATAATTAATTAAACATCACACGGTGTCCAGTTAACATTATACAGATCGACAACTACAGATAATGGATTAAGTTATAAAGGGATGTAACTCTGTTATATTGCCACTCCTACAGGTTAACTGGCAAGCCCTCCAAACCGTCATTTTACAGTGGTCCAATGGCCTGACTGTTTAGGTTCCACTGTAATTATTAGTAGTAATTTGTATTCTATTATAAACCTTGAAAAAAAGCCTTTGTTTCATCAAATGGAATATTTAGAATTGATATACAGAAATCAGTTCTATATTTCATATTTCAAAATTTCAAAAACATTCATGCATGCGATAATGAAGTTGATGTGATATCTGTTCAAGAAAGAACCATAAAAAAACTGTTGAAATCATATTTTAAAGGGATTGTTAAGAGATTTTTTTAAATTTTACATATGTGAATCAGGGACACTGATAGCAGTGATTAACACCATTCCAATTTTTAATCAGTTCCTTAGTGCTTTCTGCAATTGCACTAATACTAAGTGTTTGATGATGTCACGAATCGCGAAATAGACTTCAACACTAGTTCAGGCCCCTACCGATTAGTGACATCATTAAAAGCAGGAACCACAGACATCTGAATGAAAATTAAATGATGCAAATTTATGCTATCACTGTTCACTATACACATTTAAAAATTTATAACATCTTATTCAATCCTTTAAATCTATATTTTATCTCTATTTGTAATAAAATCATAAATATTTGTTACCATTTCACCAGCTGAAATACCAGAGATAAGTGTAGCAGTATCAACTGTAGCATCTTCACTAAACTTATCTCCTGTTATAAAATCTACAGGTAGATGAATTGTTACTTTGTTCTTTTCAGCTATTTCCATCAACTTTTTGACTATCTTAGCTCCATCAGAATCAAACAGTGATGTACCAATCTGAAATTAAACAAAACAGTCACAATGATGAATGAAGGGAGATAACAATTTATACTCATTAAAACTCATTTTTAAAGGGATTGTAACAAGGTTTTCTGAATTCTTTATGTGTATCAGGAACACTTATAGCATCAATTTGCTCCATTCCACTTTCAAATCAGACATCTGTGGTTCCTGCAATTCCACTCAATAAGAAGTTTTATATGAGGTCACTTATCGCAAAATATATATATATATTTATAACATAAGGCCCCTTGCAATTAGTGATGAGATGAAACACTTAGTTTTAGTGGATTTGATAAAACACAGACTTGGTGCAAATTGATGGTATCAGTGTCCCTGAAACACATACAAAATTTAGAAAACCTCTTTACAATCACTTTAAGAAGCTCTCACACCATAACTAAACCATTATCAGTTGTGAATAATGAAAGAGTTTCTGAGTATCAAAGGCAACTCAAAACTCAGTTGCACAAGTTGTGTTATGAACATTATTCTTATTGCAACTGGTAATCACTATTGTTTCAGGAAGCTTTGAAAAGCTACAAGCTGATGTATGAATCTTAACAATTTTTTTTAATTCTATGGAAGGTTGACAAATGCTACTTTTTTAAGTTTTACTTTAAGGCCCTTATGGTTAAATCTAATGAAGATTGAAGAAAGGGGTGATATTTTTTTTTTATCTATATTTTTTGATCTTCATCTTCCCAATCAACAAGGTGAAATGTTGACATTCTCAACTTAGTGACATATCAAAAAGGAAACTTCATAGACAAAGTTTAATAAAATCTTTGTAAGACATATAGAAGCAGGAAGTAAAATTTTTACTTGATGTAATAAAACTAGAAGAAGAATATCCATATAACTTGTTTTCTTAAAGTTTATTTTTTGTTATGATTATTGGAGTATACTTAACAAAGGTACAATTATTTCATGCATCAAAAACTGATAGATATCATTTAATTGTATACTTACTTCCATATCCTCCAGAACTTTCAAGAAAGTAAAAGCCATTCCACCAGCAATAATCATTTCATTGACCTTATCTAATAAATTCTCTATTAACTGTATTTTATCAGCCACTTTAGCTCTACAAACATCAACAATTGGGGGGTCATTATTTTTTACCAAACACTATTTTTTACCAAACGTGCCTTAGTCCCAAAAACTGGAATTTTTAAGCTGAGTTAATCAGTAATAGTGTTTACAGCTCAATGTTGAAATTTTCAAATCCATGTGTGTCCAGAATTATCTGTGATTGAAAGTTAAAATGTTGTCTTGTCTTGAGACACTTCCATATATAGAAAAGACATCTGTAGAAATAGTGAGTAAAATTCCTAGTTTGAAGTAGTTTTAAAGGACTTATGCGATTTTTGTACATTTCTAGTACTTCAGAAGACTATTTACATATATAAATTAAAATTAATCCAGCTAATATACTATAAATATTCTTACCCTCCTAAAATAGCCAAGAAAGGTCTGTTTGGATTATCTAAAGCCTTGGCAAAATATTCCAGTTCTTTCTTGAGTAAAAATCCTGAAGCCCTTTGTTCTAGTTCACAACCAACCATTGAACTGTGAAAAATAAAGATATATTTTCTATATTTGTATGTGTATCTTGAACATTAATAGCAGTAATTTGCACCATTCCAATTTTCAATCATTTAAAGACGTCACTAATTGCAAAATATATGCGTTATCATGTAAAATCTCTGATAAGTGACGTCATAAAATGCAAAATTTTAGTGGAATTGCAGGGACCTCAGACGTCTGATTGAAAATTGGAATAGTGCAAATAGATGCTATTAGTGTCCCTAAGGCCAGATCAATTTTTTTTCTTGTTTTACGGATCCTCACACTTGATATTTCTAGAAATCAGAAAAAAAAAGCTCTGCTGGAAAACAAAAATGATGATGAATTTTTATTTTTCATCAGATACTTCCATTATTAATATATTATTTTGGGTCAAATCAACACTGAGTAAATCGTAAAATCCAAGGTAATTCTGGCTTAAGTAAAGTTATTTTACACAAATTATTTTTTTTTCATCTCTTGCCTTTACAGATTTTACCAGAGAAAATCCATAAAACAAGAAAATAAATAGGTCTGGCCTTAAATAATTGTTTTTTTTTTTTAGAAAACCTCTTTACAATCTCTTTAATTATATTTACTAGGGTGACAATGTCATCAACAGTCAGGGGCACATACACTATATATATAATATATAATAATTGGGCTTTATAGATTACATGGTACTTAGAGAAGTTAACCGAATATTTTCACTTTTTTCAAAGTCATTCTTCTGTTAAAAATTGTTCCTTGTGTAGCCTTGAAAATATGAAAGACCAAATCAAGATCTTGATAAAAATTCTTTGAGATTTATATAAGACACAAATAGAAACAAATACCTATGTGCTCTGTGTGCTGTACCAAAAGCATCATTAACATAAACATCACCTAACTTCGATAGAGAGTTTCTGAATTTGGTAACATTTTCTAGTGATGCTTTCGCCTTAAAAAAAGAATACAAATCAAATCAACACAAAGGTTATAATATAGTCAAGGGTGTGGAGTATTGTTCCATTAGAATGTGTCCTAAAAAAATACAATGTATAGTTAGAAAGTACCTGATAAAGAATGATTCTACCTATGTTGTATTATATACAAGAGAACTTAAGTCCTAAAGAAAAGGAACAACTATATTTTACAAAGATAACAACTAAACGTTCACAGTTAAGGATCCTTTCTACCAGCTGGTTCTTTGGCTAGGTTTGCATCATGTAATCATTTCTATACCACACTAGCAAACAGTCTCTAAAAGGCAATGGTTTGTCATAACCAAGGGATGATTTGAGTCTTGAATATATGTATATATTCTTCAGAAGTACTAGAACTACACGAATATATCAGCTTATCCTAAACTAGAAATTTCCCTTTCTCTTAGAAAGCATATCTTCAAAACATATAAAAACATACATATAATGTATTTTCTATGAGTTGAAAGCTCAAATTTTGACAGTGAGCTGTGAACACTTAGACTGATTAGCTGAAATATTCTGTTTCTGAAACTAAGGTACGATTGGTCAAAGGAATTGTAAACCTGAATCTTCAAGCAGGTTATGAAGTAAATCACTGTTGAAATATTTCAAACCTTTTTTCCCTGCATATCAAGGCCTTTTCCTTCCTCTTCAAGATGAAAACGTAGATTTTCCAGTAAAATAACAGTTCCTGGTTCTGGGTTAGCACATGCTCCTTCAACTTCAGCTCCAACACAATCTTTTAAGAACATAACTGGCCTAAAATAAATTAAATGGATCAGCTCTTTCAAATAGAACTTCATCATAACATGTTGTAAAATGAAATGAAAAAGTAAGAATTTGTAATGAAAAGATAGTGGACCACAGCCATATACGCCCACCACAGCATGCAAATGGTAAATATGCAAGATTTTGGGGCAACGGCAATAACTCTGCTTCTAACGGTCGAAAATAGCTCAAATTCGAACTGGATCTTCGTTTCTATATACACATACCGAATTTCATTTGATTCCATCAATAAATCTAGTTTTTAGAGCGTTTACAAGCAAATGTTGACGGACGGATGGGCGGGCAGACGGACCTTCGTTTCATGAATATGTATGCACATACCGAATTTCATTTAATTCCTTCAAACACTCTAGTTTTTAGAGTGTGTACGAGCAATTGATGTTGATAGAAGCACTTACTGTATAGAGGTTGAAGGGCGATAACTCCTCAAAACTGACGTAAGAGGCCTAAATCTTGAAAAAGCCTTAAATTAAATCAGAAGTAAACTAAACTTTCTCAAAGCTTTCGATTTGCATTCTATGTCCAATAACATCCATTTTAAGTTTCATCAAAATCAGTTGAAAACTAAGAGAGTAATAGCATATTCAAGATATAACTCTGCTTCTAATGGTCGAAAATAGCTCAAATTTGAACTTGATCTTCGTTTTATGAATATGTATACTCATACCGAATTTCATTTAATTCCATAAAAAAATCTAGTTTTTAGAGCGTTTACAAGCAAATGTTTATGGACGGATGGAAGGCCGGTGGGACAGACAGGGTCCCGACAATATACGTCCACATAGAGAGAAGTGGGCGTATAAAAAGGATTGAATATAACGCCTTCTTGAATAATTTCAACGATTGTTGTCAAAGCAATAACAAAATTCTTGGATTCACAATAATCTCAATTAAGCCTGTTAGTTTGGGTGGTCCAGGCACTTCAAAGGAATGTCAGATCTTAATCTTACTTTGAATACCTCTATCTATTAGCCCAGTGCTTCTCAACCTCAGTGAGATCATTGAATAAGTTCTTCCAAATTTATTCCTCCCCAAAATAAATCAGTCATTTTTTAAACATATTTCATTCGAAAATGTATTAAAAAAATTAACCATGAACGGATATAAAATCATACTCCATATATCGAGATAGTTCAATTTTATCAAGCCAAATTTTCGTTCACAATTTTCTGTATGACTGGAGTGAATGACTGGGGTGAATGACTGCGGAGATTGACTGGGGTGAAAGACTAGGGTGAAAGACTAGGGTGAAAGACTGGGGTGAAAGACTGGGGTGAAAGACTTGGGTGAAAGACTTGGGTGAAAGACTTGGGTGAAAGACTTGTTAGAAAGACTGGGGTGAATGACTGGAGTGAATGACTGGGATGAATGACAGGGGTGAATGACTGGGGTGAATAACTGGAGTGAATGACTGGGGTGCATGAGAGGGTGAAAGACTGGGGTGAATGACTGGAGTGAATGACTGGAGTGAATGGCTGGGGTGAAAGAATGGGGTGAAAGACTGAGTGAATGACTGGGGTGAATGACTGGGGTGAAAGACTGGGGTGAATGACTGGAGTGATTGAGCGATGTGAATAACTGGAGTGAATGACTGGGGTGAATGACTGGAGTGAATGACTGGAGTGATTGACTGGGGTGAAAGTCTGGGGTGCATGACTGGGGTGAAAAACTGGGGTGCATGACTGGGGTGAAAGACTGGGTGCATGACTGGGGTGAAAGACTGGGGTGCATGACTGGGGTGAATGACTGGAGTGAATGACTGGGGTGAATGACTGGGGTGCATGACTGGAGTGAATGACTGGGGTGAATGACTGGAGTGAAAGACTGGGGTGAAAGACTGTGATGAATGACTGGGGTGAATGGCTGGGGTGAAAGACTGGGGTGCATGACTGGATTGAATGACTGGGGTGAATGACTGGAGTGATAGACAGGGGTGAAAGACTGGGGTGAAAGACTGGGATGAATGACTGGGGTCCATGACTGGGGTGAAAGAATGGGGTGAAAGAATGGGGTGAATGACAGGGGTGAATGACTGGGGTGAAAGACTGGGGTGCATGACTGGAGTGAATGACTGGGGTGAATTACTGGAGTGAAAGACTGGGGTGAATGATTGGGGTGAATGACTGGGGTGAAGACTGTGATGAATGACAGGGGTGAATGACTGGGGTGAAAGACTGGGGTGCATGACTGGAGTGAATGACTGGGGTGAATGACGGGTGAATAACTGGAGTGAAAGACTGGGGTGAAAGAATGGGATGAATGACTGGGGTGAAAGAATGGGGTGAATGACTGGGGTCAATTTCAGTAAAGATTTCAAGATCACATTGCCTTCCATTTCCTTCCCAGTTTGACGATTCTTCCCCATTTCCCCTCTTGGCAATAATTCCTCCCCACGGTCTTCCAATGAATTTAGAAGTGATACATCAAAAATATCTATCTAAGGCTCATGAGAACAGTTTTACCTTTTTAGAAGTTTCTCAAGTACAACAGATACTGGTTTTAATGTGAATTTAGCATTAGGACGACCATCAGGACGTCCAAGATGGCTCATTAATACTACAGACTTAGCACCATTGTCTAAAGCATATTTAATTGTTGGTATAGCTGCTTCAATTCTACAATATGAAAAAAAAACTCAAAATATTTTGATCATCTGTACATCTTTCAGTACATAACAGGTACTATACTTCTCGCCCTTTAGGCGAATTTTTATTTTTTCTAATTTCAGATCAGAACAGAAGAAAACCCAGAATCAGCAGCTTTAATCCCAATTTCTAAATAAAGAATCTGTTCTACCCTAGGCCTGTACATTTGAGAGAATCAAACCCTCCCTTATCAAAATCTACAAAAGATTACTATTAAAGTGATGCAGATGTCTAAATAAAGAGCTCAATTATAGCAAATGATGTCGTCATTGATAGAGCTTTATTGTCAGTTGACATTATGCTAATCTAGAGAATTATTAAAATCTGGTGTTCTGTTTCACAACAATTCAACAAAAAGAATGTCAATCAGAAGAAAACCCAATATCAAGACTCTTAATCCTAATTTCTAAATAGAGTGTTTGCTCCACCCTAGGCCTGTACATTTGGGAGAATCAAACCCTCCCTTCTCCGAAATCTAAAATCTTCTTCCTCATCTTTGGGAGTAAATATTTAGACCTACACAACTATAACTTTTTAAAAACTTGTACAAAAAAAATTCTACTTTCCATCTATAGTATGAACAGTAAATAAACTATCAATATCAAAGGGACATTCAGCTTTTTTCTCAAAATCAAGGAAAATATGTCTCTCAACTTAAAAAATCCAGCCATTAATTTCTTAAAACTATTTTAAAGTTTACGTAACCTTTTAAAGTTTGCTTTCTTTTTGGAAGCTGTTTAAACAACTACTGTATGGATTTAAGTAAAATAAACGCCTAATTGTAGAGAAATATATCTCCTACGTATTCTAAAGGTTTCAACTGATAATATCAAGCCATTATCAAGGCTTTATTTATTTTAAATCAAATTCAGTTTGAGTAAGTAGATACATAGATATAAATGGCATACTTTAGAAATTTTTTCAGGTATAAGTTACGACGTTTTTGATAATGAAAATGTTTTATAAAAAAGACAGGATGGAATCAGGTTTTATTATGAAATAAAAGAAACAATCTCACCTCTGATTATTGGTAATATTGCCATCTTTTAATGGAACATTAAAATCTACCCTATAATAAACAAAACACAAAATATATAAAAAAAGACTTCTATAGATATTTTTTGGCAATAATGATTAGGACTGCAATGGTTCAATGATTGTTATGTTAAAAACTTTATTTTTTTGTTCCTAAGAAATTAATTGTGATTATTATAGCACTAATTTGAATCACAAAATCAAGAATCATTGCTACTGCTCTAATCATAGAAGCTGGAAAATGAAGAAATGTGATTGCATTGGATACAGCCAATCAGAGTCCTCGACAGAGAGTCTGAACACAAAGCCATAATGCTTCTATTTTTTCTATCAAGGGCTCTGATTGGCTGTTTTAGCCAGTCTTCAATCCAATATGAAGTGCGTAATAGCTTGATATCGTGAAGATGTATATTATATGGCCGTGTTATTTCTATACAACACATTTGGCTAAATATTCCAGAGAAATAAATTAATCTGGGCTACGGGTATTTCTGTCTGTCATGAAAGTAACTTTAAATAGAATCAGGTCAGAAATGAAATGAATGGAGTTTTAGGTCCTACTCTTCTGCACCTTGTGGGCTAATGAAGACGGGCAACGCCATGCAGGGTGCCATGAGGGAAATTTTGCCAGGACAGCGGCATTAGCCTGCTCTTTTTCAATTTCCAACTGTCGAGGGATCTTTAACGTGAACAGCCTATAGCATACGGGGCCTCGGTTTATTGTCCCATCCGAACGACTAGACGCTTTTTCCATGTCAGCCCCTTTTACCTGCATCACTGACAGGGGGAAACCAGGCTGAAAAATCCGAAGGTATTATCTCGACCTATGCCGGGATTGAACCCTGGACCTTCAGGTTAGCGAGCAAGCGCCTAACTGACTGAGCCACCGCGGCTCCTAGAATCAGGTCAGAAAGCCTATAGTAAATAGTATCCATCCAAAGTTACACATACATTTAATTGTGTGAGTATTATTGACTCAGACCACTAAAACTTTTTATGTAAATGATTGTATACAAATGTAGTCCGTGCTATTTTTTAGAAATCCTCTTCTGCCGCCCTTTTGGGGTTTTGCATGCCTATTTCAGACTAATTTTTGGTTTAGATTTAGAATTTGATATCTGAAATTGCATTTTCTTTCAGATTTTACGAGATGATGAGAGTTTACATGCGGAAGAATAATTTTAAAAAAAGTTGTTTTGTATGCAGTGACAGTCAAGCGGATGTTGATAAAATGTAGTGGTCTACTTTCAGTTTGGTAGTTCAATATTTTCATGGTCATCATATTGAATTTTTGTCCAGAAACTAAGTATTGGCCAGACTTTCATGTGACATATTGGAAAGTTTTAAACGAGATTTCAGGAAAAAGTTATAGAAGGTTGAATTTCGTGATTTAACATGGAAACAGATGGCAAAATAATTACTGGTCTTAGTCCTTATCAAATTCTTGTTCATGACCTTATCACTTCCCTTTACATATACTATTATTGTATTAACACTTTCTATTAGGGAGAAACCATCAACCAGTCTCTGCGCATTGTAATCCAGAATGTAAACGATACCACTTTGGTTGTCAGTGGTGGTGCTGCACTGAAGAGCTCAGCCAAAGTGTTCGGGGGTTTTTAGTGCTATTTCATTAATTCCAGTGTTAGTTTTGGGGGTTAGGCTCCTAAAGATGGAGAAAGGTTATTGATGATTTGATGTTATGTAATTAGATTACATGTGACTGGAAATTAATAATTAATTTTATCATCAATACCCCCACTTAAAAAAAAACTTAAGCCATTACTTTTAATCATTAAATACATTGTTAATCAAAATACTTCTGAGCTGAAAATTTCATCTGTAACATTACAGTATGTGTTGCAGTGAAATAAACTACAGATTTAGAATTTCTGTCATCTGTTGAACACTTCTGATCTCAGAGATCCTGAACCCACAATAAACAGTAAAACACTCTGTTTATACTCCACTTGTCCTAATGGCAACGCACCACTGCAGGAAAAATCCACAAACATATGGAGTGATACTCTTTTGTAACTTGAGATTGTCTTTGGTAGATTGCCTCATCACTTTTGAACTGAAGGCAAGCAGGTTTTTTTTCAGTTTTTTTCGATGTTGTGAAATTTTTATTTAGTTAGAAAATGTCCTTCACAAATAGCCTCTAATCCACTTCCACAGCAAGAGCAGAGTCTAGAAGTATCACAATGCCTCGTACAGTTTTTACATCCTGGGCAGACTCCACATCCTGTATAATTTCAGCTAACTTGTCTAATAACTGCTTTCTTTAGCTCAGTGAGGTCACTCTGTGTATCACATGGAGATTGTGAACATGTGCTTTTGTCAGCCGCAAAAGAAAGTGAATCACTGACATCATTTGCTATATCAGTAATATTTATTCTCCTCAATAAAAAGCTTTGGAGTCTTTATATCTACTGATATCTTTAAATGGGCTATATCTGTCCTGTGAGAATGTTCTAATGAATACTCTGCATTTATTTTCCCTGTTGATAAATGTTTTTGTCAGGAAGGAAGAACAATACCCACCAATCTTAGAACTTCCCTGAGATTTCAAGGCCCTCTTTCCTTTGGCCTTAGTTTTGTGCTGTCCTGACCTGTTACAATAAAAGTGGGAGGTAACGTGATCTTGAGATCTAGTGTCCCCATTTTTTTTAACGAACCACGTCCTGTACTTGTTCTCGGTGTCTACTTTCCACTAATAAAATCTTCTTTACAGTCAAATTCTGCATGATGGATCTCATATGTTCCCTGGTGCTCTTCATTTTGATGCATCAAGAGGTCCTTTAAAGATTCACAGCTGAAATTCAATGAAATGCATTACAATAAAGTGTGCATAATGTTGTTATTACTAAAAAACGAAACTGTGGTTATGAAAATGATTTTGTTTATTAATATATCGTGGGTGACTGCTTGAAATCTCGTAAACAATATATGACACAAAATTATTTTTTTTGAGAAAAACACAAAAAACTATTTTTACCCCTAAACGTGGTTTTTATTCTTTGAAAATTTAAACCTCTTATATTAATTTGAATACTCAGAAATATTTTCATCTACAGAAAAAAGGAACATTGAACCTCCTATAATATATATTTTACGATGTTTTAAAGCGGACTGTTTATATATACAATATACGCTGAAACTTATGTGTGGGCGTATAAAAAAAGGTATCATAGAAGGTTGTAAATGCAACTATTTATAGGATTGTAGATTAGTGAAAAACAGTTAATCAGAGCGCTGAACAGGAAGGCTATGAACAATTGGATTGTGCATGTGATTCAGGACTACAATTGGCTGTATTTGCTAGCATACGATCCAATGAAATTGCTGCAATAACTAACTGTCATTCAAGAAAGGTGTCTATTGCAATCAAGGTATTAGATACAATTCTTTATAGCTTGACATTTGTGATGAAGTCTATCAGTTGACTTACCATTTTTCCTTGCATTTAAGACACTGAATTTTGGATGATGCAAATTCCTTCTCTTTTTCATGTTTCCGTTGCTTGTGCTTGAATAATGACTGACGACTAGCAAGCTTTAGTTGGCAGTACGGGCAGATGTATGTCTTTGATTTCAACAATGTAGTGCTTCCAGCAGTCTACAAAGAAGAAAAGCTGCACTAGTTAGGCTAGAAACTGCAACAAAAGATCCCCAAAGATAAACTATTCCCCAAGGAAAGTTTTTCTTGTCACATACACTGTTGGCAAATCATGATTATTAATGTTTGTGTCCAGACCAAGTCATGGTTTATACAGTGGTGTAACCTATTTTCGTGGATATAAGGATTGAACACCGAATTTCGTCAAAGTTACAAAAAACGAATTTTTTTTTTTTTATGTCTCAGATGTTTCCTTGGATATACTACAAAATAATTAAAATAGGTTTGTTTCGATTTTCTTTATTAATCCTTCACTTTGACCCATATTTCATGAGCAACCAACTCGGCAAAGACGTCACCTATTTTCATGTACAATGTTTGATCTATAAATAAAACATGTTGTATGGATACCGGGTGGTATAATTAACTTCTCTTAGTATTTATCTTTAATATCAATTCATTATAACTAGTAACAAGTCCTTCAAAGAACCACCATTTTAAAAAAAAGTAGTGACTGACAAAATAAGATATGTAGCGTGATTTATTGCTAAAAGTCACTGAAACATAAGAATATGTCCAACTTTGTGTTCCATAGAAATTTTCTGCTGACACAGAATCCGCTAGTTGATCATGTGACTTCATTCTAGCAGACGACACTTCCGATTACCGCTTGGGATTATAAGGAAATTTGGCCGATAAAAATGGTGACGTTTGGTAATAACTGAAATCCGCCATTTTGTATTTGTCAAAGTATACATTAATACATATACAAATAGGTTAGCACGGAATTAGGCTACTTGACTGTATATCTTACTTGACAGTCTTCCTCTTTCATTTTCTTACAGCTCTTTGTCTGGTACGATGTGTCTGTTGTACATGTTTCTATCAATGAGAAGGATGGAACCTGTACAGAATGAAAGAAAGTATTATTTAAAACCAATTCGAATATTTAAGCCTTTTACAGTGGAATTAACCTTCTCACCCCTTCCTTAGTTAAAAATAAATGTTGACAAATGTTAGATCAAACTCAATAGAAAATTGTATCATTCAAAACACTTTATACGACAATATGAACTTTTGGTTGGCACGGTTGTCTCTGGTGGCCGATGTTTAAAAAAATATTTGTTGGAACAAGAGATTGACATAAATGGTTGATATGACTGAACTACAAACATATTGTCAAAATAAACATCTGAGGCTGAAAAAGAGATGTTTCACACTAAATGCCTCTATGACTTCTTTTCCAAACACAGTTGAGTCTTGACACCCTCTTGCTCCATTGGAAAATCATTGCCGATAGGCCTATTATTATTGGTCCAGGGCAGAACTTGTTGTGACTCAAGCAAGTCATGGTTAATATTATAAACTCACCTCTTTATCATCCAAGTTTCTCTTCCTTGTATGCGCATAACTGTGATCACTGACAGGCCCAGCTGGATTTGGCTCATCATCCGTTCTGTGCATTTATCTCCTTCTCAGTCTCAGTAGTCAGATGTTACATCCTGTACCCTCTCAAAATTCATACATCTTTCATGTCTTATGTGCTGTAGGTAGGTTGGTTTGTTAATAGATAGATGACAAGTTTCCTGTACACTCTCTCAGATGAAAATTGAAATTGGATTTTTGATTCTTTTACTGTTCTTCCGGATGACATGTGGACTCACTCCACTAAAACATTTTATGCAAATGATTGTAAGGAATGTAGTCCAGGCTATTTTTAGAAATCTTCTTTCCCTCTCCCTTTTGGGGTTTTTGCCTGCCTATTTTTGGGTAAAATTTGGTCTAGATTTGGAATTTGATGTCTGTTCAGATTTGGTGAGCTGATGAGAGACTTAAAGGCGGAAGGCTAATTCTAAAAATAGTCGTTTTGTGAAGTGCCAAACTCTAGTGGATGAGTATAACCGGTAGTAGTCTACTTTCAATTTTAGTAGCTCAAAATTTTCATGGTCATCATATAATGAATTTTTTAGGAGACATTGAGAATTGGTCAGGCTTTCTTTGGACATATTGGAAAGCTTTCAACGAGATTTCTGGAAAAAGTTATAGAAGGTTGAATTTCGTGTTTTAACATGGGAAGAGATGGCAAATGAATTAGTGGAGTGAGTCCTGTTTACAGAGTGTGTGATAACGCATGCGCAGTGTTGATGACGGTCTGTCCCTTAACGCAAGTAAAGAAAACGAAACGACTTGTATCTTTTAACTCAAATGAGTCTTAAATAAATAAATTTATTATTGGTCGTATTCATTAGCAAAGCGTTTTTACTGAATAAGCTACTATACATGACTATAATGAAAGTCTTTTCGTAGCTTGTTGTCTAAAGGACACTAGGACACCGGTAAGGTCAAGGTCGGATTGTGATCTTACCTCATAAGTACTCGTTTTCCCTTTAAATCAAGTTTGTCTATACTTAATTTGTTAAATGCCATGGTGAAACTGTTCCCTCCGAATATACAAAACTAATTTCTGACGTTAATTCCTTTTGCGTCTGATCCTGATACCTTGAATATTCCAGATTGACACCGGGCTGCAAGCTTGAAGTCTGAGAAAGTCTGGAAAATGCACTGTACAAATTTAGTAGACTACAGACGACGTTATCCAGTCAAGTTGTGTTCGTTCCAATCAAATTAGTCCGAAAATTCGTTTTTCTCGAACAAGATCACCCCAAACACCTATATGTAAAAAAACACAATACCAAATGCAATTAAACCTTAAACCTAAAACACTAAGAGATCTTCAAAATTGTTTCAAAATGAGCATTTCAACATATCCATCGAAAATCAATTACCGGGGTTGCCATCAAATACGAGTAAAGGTAACACTTTAGAAGTCTTTTAATGTAGAAAACGCATCTATTGTTCCTGTAATTATTGAAATAATTAAATACTTTACCGCATATGACGTCATTATCGCTAAAGCTAAAGGGAAAAACATGAATGATAATTGGATTTGCAAAACCCACAGACGTTTGCCTCATTATCAGAATGGTAGAAATTTTAAACAATATTTTAAAGATGGTTTCCTTATGTTTCAGTGTCAAATTTAGCAAACTATTTGATTAATGAGTGTTTCTAATGAATTATCATGTATTCTTAATCATATCATTATGTTCTTATTGCATATAATTAAGAGTTTTAACCAATCATACATGTCCATGTATGTACAGTCTGGATAAACAAAAAAAAACTTTGACCTTTCATGATCGGTCACTGATTGGAATTCTGCTGGTAATTCTCTTCTAATTTAGCTAATTATGAATTAATTATGGACATGTGAGACAAACTGGTATTTTTCCAAGTCATTAGAACACTTCTACTTTCTATTCATATAAGAATTATCATTTTCATCTTCATAAATGAAAATAAGAGAACCCATCCTAGACTATACAACGAACATTTTTTATAATTCATTTATCCCTTCAACCATTAAAACATTGAATAGTTTACCTGAATTACAAAATCTTTTTTCTTCAATTTCATCCGTCAAAAAACTCTGATGATACCCAGCCATTTGACTTGTAGATCCCAGGGAATCGTAAAATCCAAATTATTGACTGCCGTCTCCGTCTTTCCTACAGTGACAATGGTCCTTAGACACGTTAGTGACAACCCTGTAAGTGTGTTTGTGTTCATCAGTTTAATGACCATTTTTTTGCACTGGTCCATGCAAACAGATGCACGAAATACATCTAAAGGTCTTTAACCAAATGATTCACAAGCATTTATGATCTGTAATGTGGTCTAGATCCTGTTCAGTCTGTTGTTTTTTTTTTAATTAAAGTTCATGACTGAAATTTCAAATGAATTTGTAAATATATATATTTTTTTGTATATCAATACATTATGTGTATGTATATTGTATAGTATTTGTAGAATGGATGTAAAGATATGCGGTATTTTGACTTCATGTATTGTATTTGTACATTATGGATTTTTATTAGACTATATAGGATTCTTTCTGTCGTATCGGTATAGCTTTGACACCGGGTAAGTTAGTTCACTGATGAACAAAGACTCAATTTAACCAAGTTTTCAAATTTCAATTTTTCGATCATCCTAAGAGGTAGTATTCCTTTAAAAGAGTCTGGAAATATACTTAATAAAAGATATAGTAAGATATTTTAAGCTATATAGATTCTCATGTTAAGCACATTGTGTTCAAACACGACAATTATAATACGTCCGCGTTTTAATATGGGCGTATTGGATATTGAGTTTCAAAATAGTTCAGGAAAGGTTGATAACAGCGTGAGCGATGGCGATTAATTTTTTCCGGGAATGATGATCACACAGCACAATATTAGATACATTATTCATCGATAACTAAGCTTGATTAATATCTAAAAAGAGAATTAAAACGATGATATAAGATGTATATTACAAAGGGGAGTTATATGCTATACTAGCATCATATTGAATTACAAACTGGACCCTATAGCTTACTCACATGATGTCAGATAATTTTAATTTATGTATCGAACACCTTATTTCAAGTATTTTTACCTGATATAGTTACATTTCTAACATACATTGAACTGAACGGAGGTCAATACAGATACAATATAAATGTATTTCAACGATTAATAATGATCAGATTGATAATAATGGGTCGACTGAAAAGTAACATTTAATTATGAACTTCAAAGATTGAATACAATACAGGATGACGATTCAAGAAGAGGGCCGACAAAGAGGACAGAAGTAAAATTAGCTACGTGTATGCATTTGTAAAGTTTGAGAGGTAGGCGTTAGTCATTTTCAAAATTAAAATTTAAACGTAAATTGATCGTATAATATTTTTAGAAAAACAGACAGAGGAGTTAACGTTCTTAAACTAAAGTGATACGTCTTAGAATGAACAATAAATTTCTCAAGAATGGTCAATATGAGTATATATTCATCAGTGAAATTACCTGGTGTCATAAAGTTACAACAGAGTCCTTGTACAATCTGGACAATTGAAAATTCATTCATTTTCAAGTAATTTTTGTAAAACGCTTAATCTTTAGATCTACTCAAATTTAACAAAGATCAAAGGAGTTTCACCCCTTATATTTTGCCAAAATTTTTCATTCTGAATTGCATTATAGTTCAAGAGCAAGGAGCCACCATTGATGTTGTTATATATATATGAGTGACGATGTAGATTGCGGATGATGTGCATTCAGAATTTATATCTGAATTTTCTAAATGCATCTTATACGCCAATCGTTCAATTGTCATGTAACTACAGTGGTTATTAATATATTTCGAAGGGAAGGAACAAGCATATAGGTTGTTGCCGGGTGTGTCTTAGCGTATTTGCATCACAACGTGGTTTAGTATTGTGTTTATTTAGGACTATGTTCGGTTTGCCGATTCTCATTTACCATCCATTTTATTGCTAAGAGTTGTGCATACTTATCAGTGAATCCTTAAAAAGAACAGACGGGTTGATTTTAATCTTGAATATAATTATGTAAACAGTCTTTTAAAGTATCAGAGATGTACGTAAATCACATAACTCCTTCAAAAATATTATTTCTGTATGTCTTTTCTTAAATTACGAGTCGTCATTTTAACATTCAAACGCAGATAATTCTGGATACACATGGATTTTAAGATTCAAATTTCGACGGTGAGCTGTAAACACTATTTCTGATTGACTAAAAAATTGCAGTTTCTAAGACTAAAGTTGATTGGTTAAAAAAAACGGCCTACCTGTCCCTTTAACACATGGAGTTTATGTTAACTATTGATGATGATGAACTAATATTTTGTTTGTATGAAGCAGATGAAGATTTGGATGTCTAGATTGTAAACAGCTGTCTAGAACTTGTGATAGAGGTTGCATTTGACTGTGTATAACTAATGGTAAATGCATCCTCTATTACCACTTCTACGACAGACATCCACGACAATGATAACAAGGAAATATAATGTTGTAATAACGAGATAAGTGTTTTATCACTAGGTTAGATGTTCAGTTAGGTTAGGAAGTTGATTGTTTGACAGGATAGTCAGATGTATAGATATTATAGTTCATTATGTAAACCCACGTTTGTTGTGGTTTCCTTATTTTATAGTGTCAAATTAAGCATACATTTTGATTAATTGGTGTTTCTGATGAATTATCATGTATTCTTAATCATATCATTATGTTCTTATTGCATATAATTAAGTGTTTTAACCAATCATAAATGTCTGTGTATGTTCAGTATGTATACATAAAAAAACTTTTTGACCTTTCTTGATCGGTTACTCATTGGAATTCTGCTGCTAATTCTCTTCTAATTTAGCTAATTATGAATTAATTATGGACGTGTGACACAAACTGGTATTTTTCCCAGTCATTAGAACAGTTCTACTTTCTATTCATATAAGTATTAGCATTTTCCTTTTTATATATATGAAAATAAGGGAACCCATCTTTAATAACTTTAGTTTCAGCCCAAAATCATAGGTGAGTATTGTTAAATTGGTTAGGTTTAAACGCTGGTTCTTTATTTTTAAGACCGTTACAGTACACAAGCACTTTATATAGTAAACAGAAATGTAAATTTATCCTCATGCGAATAGGAAATATTCAGCCACAACTAAATAACTTGTTCAGAAAAAATTAGAAGGTTCACAAATTACTCTCTACCATCGTGAATTAAGGCTATTTATATGCAAAGTAGTCTCCAATTCCTGACTTCTTCGGTAGGAATGCAGGCTGAAATAGGTCAGTTGTCAGGAGATCGCACAGCCTGAAACTCAGAGTAAAAACACGTTTCAGGTTTTGCCATTTCTAAACTATTTAACTGAACCACCAATAAGTCAAAACATTTTTTGTCCTCCCATTTCATATTGCGATATTTATGATGGAAACATTGAAGTTAATATGCAGAGAAAAACCCCTAGTTTCATATTCTCGGCGTGATTCCAGGAAGTGGATGGGAGTGAGTAAAATTTAGACATATTTAGAAATATATTTATGAATATTAAACATTTGACTATAACATAGACGTTTATACATTGTACGAGAATCTTATAAAAATGCAATACATAACGAAAAATGTACATTAATTCAGTGAGATGGTTAGTGAATGATTAACATTTTTTTCTTCATGTTTTACAATTTGTTCAAAATTATTGATAAAGGGGCGTGGCTTAAACTATAAATGTAAGATTTACTGAAAAAATCATGCAATAGGCGACTAGGGGACAAACAGCCTTTGAACATTATTTTAAAAACTCTGACAGCTGAATGCAGTAAAGATGCTAGAATGAAATCTTATCCAAGTATTTGTCAATTTTGAGTTATCAATTTACACCATTCCAATCTTCACACCCCTGTGGTTCGTGCAATTCAACTAAAAATAAGTTTTTGATGACGTCCCTCATCACGAAAGCTTTTTGTGATACAAACATATTTCGCGATTAGTGATTCCATTAATTGCAGGAACCACAGAAGTATGATTGAAAATTTAGAAAATATTTTTACAATCCCTTTAATAGTAAATTGTGTTTTCTGGGTTTCCAATTTCAGGCTTCATTTAAGAGACAATAGCATAATTTGACGTTATACTATAATGGAAGATTTTGGGGAGCGCAGAAGTTCTACAGAAAAACTAACATCGTGGTCTGATCTAGGTCAATAACAATTAGATGTTTGTGACTCTTTGTGACCAATATTAAACAATAGGAGATTGTATAGCTAACAATCTGAATTTTTCAAATGTATATAAAATACCGGTAGTAGAAAGATTTCTTTCGATAAATACATACTGTAGATCAAACGATGTCCAGTAATAATCTGCAAGCAGGTTTAAAATATATAGAGTACAGAAATATATATACATATACACTAAGAACACATCTAGGTTTATGTTTCTTCTGTATTTTGTGTGGAAAGTTTCCGCTTCTCTGTAGCTTCAATATCTATAGTAGAGTATTGTGTCTTTGTTTGCTCACTTCCAACAATTTTCGTTGTAGCACCATCAGAAGGCTTGATATCTACTTCTACATAATTTAATGCTGGTTCCTGAAAAAACAATTAATTACAACTGTATTATCTTCAAACATATGAGCGATGCCTGTGCAAACTCCATATGCTATTTGAGCTCCATCGTATATATAAGACTTAAACGACATTAAGAGAGGAGTACAAATTTCACAAACACAAGACAATATTATGGAAAAAGCACACTTCTTTCATAAGTGACGACACGTCGTACAAATTGTTGAAACGTTATATTTTTGATTTTAGGAATACTATGTTGAATACTATAGAATGAACATAAAATTTACGAATTTCTTTTAAAATTTACGAATAAGGGCATATATTCATCAGTAGATATACCTGGTGTCATAAATAACATAACAGGATACTTATATAATCCTGATAAATCCAAAAAAAAAAAAAAACTTATAAAAATGCAATTAACTATTATGAAGATTTCAATAATTACTTTAGTTTTATGAATTTTCCAATTTTCCGGATTTTACAGGGATTCTGTTGTAACTTTATGACACCAGGTAAGTTTACTGAAGAATATATACTCATATTGACCATTCTTGAGAACTTTATTTCAAATTGTATCATCTTGTTTTCTTCTTTGATAATGTTTTTTGTTATATATTGTATATTGTTTTAGTTTTGTTTTTATGACATGATGCTTATACCGTGTTCCGGAGCTATATAGCCCGTTTGGTGCATTTCATTTCATTTCATTTATTTAACATTGTATGTTCATTTTAAGACTTAATATCACTTTAAATGCTAATACAAACCAAATTATCAAAGAATATCAAAGTTCCTGTTAACTATATAATAAATCTTTTAAGTAGTCAAGAAGTGTGCCTATTCCATAATTTTTTCAAAATAAATTCTTTTTTTATCGAATGGATTCAGCCAAAAAAAAAGTTAAAATCAGCTGGATTGTCATTGTAAGTAGGCTACATGTATTTTTAATTGTTTTACGAGGAACGGTAAACTTAGACCTACATTTTTTTTCTACAAGGATCTTTGCGATATTGACGTCAGATAACGTGATTAAGTTTTCCGGTTCAACCTTTCACAGGACAGTCGGACAGGAAATCCGAGTGTTTAAAATAATGCATCACAGATACATATACAAAGGTCAGTAAGCTTTAATATAATTTTCTATGTTCATCGTTTGCTTCATAACTCATACGAGGGTTGGCTGAAAAGCTCTTATACCTTGTGGGATATCTCAATCGGATTAAAACAAACGTTTGTAAAACGCCCATTAAATCAATTATACACTTAAGAACTGCAACTACAGTGTTGTTATTGTCTTTGTTCCAGATCATCTTATGAATCTACTCTCTGTGTGCCAAGGTCTTGGCAGCAGATCAGAAACGTGTCAATTCCCCGGTTTCTGGCTTCTCAGACTCCCACCTGTTTCATATAATGAAAAAGAACTAGCCGATGGTTTCTTTCTAGTAATAATGATGTCATTTCTGCCTTTTTTTTAGGATGGCTGCAGAATCTTTTTGATTTGCATGGATACTTTGTTAACCTGAAAGGGGTGTATGTATCGAAATTAATGAAAACCATCGGATCTTTCACATTTAGGCGTAGAACTTTTCAGCCAGCCCTCGTAGACATACCTCTTTGGTTGATTTCTTTTCTTCCTGTCTCTTTTCAGGTTCATTTACTATATCAACTTCATCATATTGTCTTGGTTTCTTCTGGACTTTCTGACCTTTTGAATCTTCTGAATTGTCGAAAAAATTGAAAAAAGAAAATGTAATAAAAAGAAAAACATTTTCGTTTTAACCTTATCTTCCCCTCAACTAAACTATATATAGTTCTTACATGGAACTAACACACACTTCGATTTACAGCTAAAGTCATTTCTAAACTTTTAAATGTGATTCGAAGACATTGATGAAATATTCTATTTTTTATAAAAAAAATTTGAATTAAGTCGAGGTAGAGATTCAAAATGGTTGTGAACTACGTTTGTGTGTGTTATTTCCATGTAAGAACCATACGTAGTTTCATAGAATCTGTCCCTTTCGAAATGAAATGGAATTTTATGTACCATCTCCCTGCTGCCAAATGTAATTAAAGAAAGTACAAGCGACGTATTGCGTGTTGTGTTGTAAAAAGGCGACTAACGAGCAACGAGTCTCATTGCCCAGTAGTATTGATTACTGCCGAATCGATCTAAATATTTAACGAAAACATTTATCATTTTATTACGACTTAAGCATTAATTCCGACACAAATGTCATTTAAAAATAACTCGAGGAAAATAAAATTAATTTTTCAAAGTGTATTTTAAGACAAAATGTGTATAATGGACCTGAATCTGGAATTTAAATATAAATTGATTGTAAGAAGTAATCTTCTCATGGTGTCGTCTCTTAACCTTTTTAGGCGATTTTGATAAGAGATAAGATATTTTTTATTGTATCTACGTACCATAGAGGTAAGCATACAATATACATTCATTATACATACATCATACATACATTATACATACATCATACATACATTATACATACATCATACATACAATAAATATACATTATACATACATTATACATACATCATACATACAATAAATATACAATATACATACAATATACATACATTATACATACATTATACATACGTCATACATACAATAAATATACAATATACATACATTATACATACATTATACATACGTCATACATACAATAAATATACATTATACATACATCATACTTACATTATAGTACATACATTATACATAGATCATACTTACAATATACATACATTATACATACATCATACATACAATATACATACATCATACATACAATAAATATACAATATACATACAATATACATACATTATACATACATTATACATACGTCATACATACAATAAATATACAATATACATACATTATACATACATTATACATACGTCATACATACAATAAATATACAATATACATACATTATACATACATTATACATACGTCATACATACAATAAATATACATTATACATACATCATACTTACATTATAGTACATACATTATACATAGATCATACTTACAATATACATACATTATACATACATCATACATACAATATACATACATTATACATACATCATACATACAATATACATACATTACACATACATCATACATACAATATACATACATTATACATACATCATACATACGTTATACATACATTATACATACATTATACATACATTATACATACATCATACATACATTATACATACGTCATACATACAATAAATATACATTATTCAATAATACAATGTAAAATAAGGAAATAATATAATTATAGTATACATCACTCAATGATACAGTATGGAAATAATGACATCATGATAGTTTAAAATATGACGATAATGATCGGTAATAATTTCATTAAAAAGCTAAAAAATCATTGCTGTTGCTTTTCATTTACTTGAAAAAACAGTCAAACTGTATCAAGGAGCTATTAACAAGTTCAAAATTCTAAACATTTTGATATTTACATAGACATACCGTAGCCTACCTCAATAGATTATAGTCACATGTTATATTTTACTAGTGTTTTCGAAGCTCAGTGGCTTGAACAAGAATACAAAATTTCCGCAAAAAAGACACCTTATAATTGTTGACAAATTAACAAAAACCCTTTTTTTTTTAGAAAAAATCTATATAATACATATCTTTTCGTCGTCCTACATTTAAACTCTTTATAAATAGAAAATGTAATATGAGACGTTTAATGAAATCATGAATACACTCTATTAAATTTTGAAAATAATTGAATATCTCACCCTTTTTAGAAGAAAAGCAACTTAATAAATTCCCCATTTTTGCTCTGGGCATTATCTTTAAAACACTATCCACCTAGTATTACTTAGTTTATCTCCTATTAAGAATCACACTGAATGACCATAATATCAAAATAATGTTCTCTGCACTAGTGTATCGACAAACTATGATATCTTTTTCAAAGTTGTGTGAAAACTACTTCCTAGTGTTATGATAGATAGATATACGATTGACCTAAATTTACATTAACTCTATATTAGTTACTAAATTTCGCCTGCAGACACCAAATAGTTTAACTTCCGGATGATGTCAATATTGACAAGCGGTCAATAGATAAACAAAGTACATCACAAAATAATGTCGGCAAAAATTTGAATATTTACTTAGTTATGGTATATTACATATAATATGTAGAGTTTAATCAAATTAATTCATCTATTTTTTTTAATTAATTAATCAAAGTGTGGATATGGCGATTTGTGAGAATTTAACGCATTTATGAGTGTCTCTTTCATACTACATTACATGTATTCAATTTGAACAATTTATTTCCTTAATACTTGTCATGATGTCTAAGAATATTTTAAAACCCTGCCCTATTAATTTGTCTACGTCATTTTCAATACTAGCGATCGGCAAAACCTAATGACCTTATGAAAAGACGAATAAGCCTAAAAGTTCAATACAAAGCTCCAGTTTATTCATGTACGAAAACCAATTGTGATGTTATAATAAATGAATTACTGTGTGGATAAGGCCATTCTGTGAGAATTTAATTTAACCTTATTGAAAAACATAGCCCTTGCAATAGGGTGCAAATGTTCATCCAAAGCTTCAGTCTAATGTGTTCATAAAGCGATATATTGTCATATATTTTGGTTAAGTCAAGGAAAATGATTTATCAAAAGACTGTGAATTGGACAATCGTGAATCCAAGAACATGAAGATTCATTAAAATTTGAAATTAAGCCTTTATCTATGGCATTGTCAAATTCATTGGAGATCTGACAAAAATACAAACTCAAACCATATTTCTTCATACTAAAAAATTTAGACTCTGTCACGCTCATAGGCTTATTTGACTGTTTGAAGAATAGCGAATTTTATTTTTCAGTTTCGTCAAAATCCGACCAAAATAGTAGGTTATATTTAGCAATTATTGTAAGTATAGGATATAGTCACACAGCTTTATTGAACAACAATAACTGGTTAATATTTTATGGAACATATGGGATACAATGGTCTAAACGTTGCATAAAACTTTAACCAGTCATATTTGTTCCATAAAGATATATATTATATACAGCTATTTGGCTATATTTGTCGCGTTCAGAAGGAAAATAGAATGGGCGTATACAAAGTTTAAAGCTCTAATAATGAGCGAAATGAAACGACTGAAGTTTTACTTTCTACGTTTCTGCCAAAGCATCGGACCATTTTGACAGTACAGCGGCATTAACCTGCTCCTTTATCGATTTCCAACGTTCGAGGGCTCTTGTAGCACACGGAGCCTCGGTTTTTCTTCAATCCGAACGACTAGACCTTATAATGAACTGTCGAGAAATAAAAGTAGTTGGGCTACTTGAAAGAAAAGTTTACAAAAACAAAATAACTATTTAGGCCTACTTTTTTACCACCAAGAAAATGCCTATTATTAACATTAACTATGAGAGGCTAAATATAGAAAGTAGGATTCGAATTGACCCATTAAATTGCTTGAGAAAAATGATTACATAAAAATCAGATGATTTGAGAATAAATCGAGAATATTTTGATAACCGGTTAGATAACATACCCTTTTTTGGTTTCCTTTGGAACAAATTTATAAAAAATTTAAACGGCATTTTGACCCGTTACTATACCGTTCTGTTCAATTTGAAGTAATCCGTAATGTGTTAGTAATGGTTATTATCAATTTACTTCCCCGTTATGTTATAATACAACTACACCACCAATTATTATAATAACCCGTTAGGTTTCGATGATTAAAATTCAAAAATGTACGAGACCTTAAAGGAATTGTAAAAATGTTTTATAAATTTTCATGTGTAATGGTGACCTTAAAGGGATGTTAAGAGTATTTCTAAACATTTTATGTGTGGCGGTAAAACTGATATAGATTTAAACTATTCCATTTCCAACCAGACTCTCTGGTTCTTGCACCAGTCACGATTAGCGTTTTGTGACATCATTTACACTTATTTGTATAGTAAAGAAAGCAAAGAAACCCAACCAAGAAGTTTACTAAGCAGTTATCAGCTGCATTGTTAGTCCGAAACATCTGCTCTGGTAGCTATTTGGACAGATGTAGAGACAGAAAAAATAGGACCTGTAAAATAGAAACTTTCCGCATCTTCGCAGGTGCGGGTTTTTTAGACCTATTAAGATACCTCGGATCTGCAAAACCCAGATATATTTAGAAAGATGTATATTTTTGTAGTTCAGTGATACACCATTTTATGTTATTGTAAAGTTAATTTAATATTATGTTACAAAAAACGCATATTCGGAGGTATGGAAAATCTCCTTTTAACACGGTATGTGTTTTCTTACTTCAGAGGCCAGAATATAGAGGAAGATGTTTCAGACTACTATATTGTAAGCAATTGATGTTTTTGACAATCTATGTTATTTTTTACATTACGCCCTTTAAATTTGGTAAATTAAATTAGAATATCTTTTTCATTATTGCCTAACATGTATTTAAATATTTCATTAATATCGGATCGTGCAAAAGGCGCAGTTGTTTTGGGGCGCCAAAACGATATTTGCACTTCCAGCAAATTTGAAGCCAACACGCCACTGCCTGTAGTTGTAGCTTCGATCAAGTCTGAGCCATAATATATCTCAATTTATGTCTCTGGATGTGTATAGCAAAGAAATCAGGGTGGAAAGCACAAGCTCAAGCGTCCCTAATCAATTGCGACACATAATATATGTTGGCAAATGCGGAATGTTGCTACACATAATAATAAAAATTGACGATTGGAAAATCATCACGCTTGTTAGCCTATATAATTTCACATTAAGTCTCTGGGTATTTTTTGTTGTTGTCAAAAGCAAGACGCAAATTTTCGTCATCGGTTGTGTTTTTAATTTTTAATTCAACTATTGAGTCTAATTATCTACTCACTCTTTAGGTCTGGTGAATATTCACTATTTACGTAGATATGTAGAAATATCACTATTATACTCCCTTCACATAAACGATTTTTCTGGCGAGTCATCGTAATCAACCACAAGCATCCGTAGGCTATTTACTCCTCGTATTATGATGTTTTGGGTTGACTACGAGTTGGCTTTCCGTAAGCAATCGTAAGAAAAAATCGTGAAGGGGGTACCACTCGCATCTTCACTCACGACAGCTTAAATGGTGAAAAGTTGTGCATTTAGAAAAATTTCAACACTATGTCGTGGTGTTTTGGGTAAATGCAACTAGAGTGCTTCGGACTATACTTCTAGAATTGGCTATAGAATATAAGTTGAAGGTCGTATGCGACTTGATTATCCAGACTAACGGTGACTTCCTGTCATTAGTTTATTACGAATAACGGTAGCTACGTTCTTATATTATTAAGATTTGTTGACATCTTCTGGGCCTGTATTATTTCGAGTTTCTTGATATATTATTAACTGTTTAAAAACTACAACAAGTGCAATTGTGTGTATTTGTTTCTAACAGTAAGTTTATCATTCTGAAATATCTTTAAATGTTATTAATTCCCCAACCACTGTTCTACTCTTTTCTTTTAGTCTACTGTTCTGTACTTTAACTACACTGTTTTCTGAATAAAAGTTTGACAATCTTTTTCATATGAATTGAAATATCAATTACAAAATACTACTGAGAGTCTTAGATTGTCTTTGGGTTGATGAAAATGTTCAGCACCAAAAAAAACATTACTTATAAAAATGATTTTACAGAGGGGAATTTTTGGTCCGAAATTGCGAAAAGGTCATTTTCACATGAATTTTCTGGGAAAGAAGTGTCTCTTTTTCAAATGTAAAATCATTGAATCTTATATTTCTATGGTCCAAGGCATTCTAAGACAAATGGTATACAGTTGAAAATTTTATTGTGAATATGAAATGAGAGAAAAAATTCAATTCAAAGATCAATGTAGTCATACATTTATTAGTAATATAGTAGACCTGCCGTAGATTTTTCTGCATTGAAAATAGAAATTGAAGACACTATAACTCAATATTGTGATAAGGATTAATATCAAGGACTCGGCTAATCAAAATACAAAATATATCTAATTCCAGGTCTAATTTTAGTTGTTTTTTTTTCTCACTTATTTTGTTATTTTGTGTGATTAGTCAGCCTGGTTTGTTAAATGATTGAAGATCCTAAAATAGGACAACACTAACAAGGAAATATTCACTTAGAAATTTTGCTGTGTTTAAATTTTAATGAACCACAGATTTTCAGAGAATTTCTGTTTCATCACTGTTAGCTGATAACTACATACTGTCGAATTTGCTGAATTTTAAGTTATATTTTTGTTCTAAAAGTGCTGCGGAAACAATATTCTGGAACACCTAATAGACCTACTACAAATATTGAAAGGATTTGTTATGTCCTGAATTATTCTTTTCTTTTAGAATAGATAAGCTTTTATTTGTTTGAGCTGTTCTTGTCATATGTCATGATCTTTTTTAGTTTATATTTATAACCACAGATAACTGGTAATAGATGATATATATTTCTTTAATTATAGTGATATAGGTTAATATCTCAATGTGATGTAACAAAACACAAGACAATATTATAATGGAATATAACACACTTCTTTAATAAGGTTGGGCAAATAACGTTTCAACACAATATACATGTGTCGTCACCCAACCTTATTAAAGAAGTGTGTTATATTCCATAATATTGTCTTGTGTTTTGTTATATGTGCTCCTCGCTTCTTTATGTTGTTCAAATCTTATATCTCATTGTGATGCCAATGTTTTAATTTCTTATTTTTTTCAGAACAGAAAACAAATCTAGTACTGGTATTCAAGTAGCAATATTAAGTCATAGTTACCGTACAAGATGATGAGATGATATTCACCAATTGAAGTGAGTAATAACAACTTTCTGTACTGTATATACCTCTACTCAAACTACCGGTACTAAATTTTATATCAAGAGACAGAGACAGCATTTTGGGTCTTGAATATTATAAATAGTCTTCAGAGGAACTAGAAACGTACACAAATTTTATAATTCCTTCAAAATTACTTCAATACTTCTATATCTAGCCTATATTTTTTTTCTTCAAAGCTTAATTATAACAAGAATTGTACCGGTCACCAATTTATGTCTCCTTTTGTCACTGTTTTAGCAATTTTAACATTGTGAAACCATTTTTTGTTTCATGTATAATTAAGATTGAATTAAATGACTTTTCCTATATTTGGAGTAAGCATACTGCACAATGGATTTCCACATGTATTTCTATGATGCAAGGAGTTGTGGATTAAACACTAAAATCACAGTGACAAACAATTTTTTATCTGTAAATATTTTCTTTAGACCAAGAGGAGTTGTGTAAATGAGAAAAGCGAGAAAATATTTCAGAAATTGAGTATTCTTCATTGCAGGCAGAGTATTATATTAAAAGCTTATATTAGTATTGTGAAAATGGCAAACTGTCCAGTGTGTTTAGAAAACTTCAACAGGCCAACAACATGTATACCATGTGGACATATGTTTTGTTATGAATGTATATCTAACTGGAGACATACACATTTTAACTCTAATGTTTGTCCTCAATGTAGATGTTCTATTAAACAGTTACAAAGAGTTTATTTAGGTGACACTGACAGTAAGTACTGATATTTTCTTACCTTTGGACTTTGAATTTGATATGAAAGAACCACTATCCTAACAACCACTTTTATAGTGGATATTAACATTTAATACATACTCATTAGTAAATACTTAAAAATCTTACAACTTCAGCCAACTAAAACTGTTCCAATTTTTGGATAAAAAAAAATTTAAAGATGCATTTGGAAATGGATCAAGTAAGGAAATGTGGGATATTCTTGGCAGAAAGAACATCAACACTATTGTAGCACCCCAGTCGGCCCCAGATCATTTGATACTGTTTCAGTATTTAACTTGATGTTAGCTGGATGGTTTCATTTTTTTTGTGAAAGCACTGAAAATGAAATGAAATTCATCAAAAATATCTCTGTTTGTTTTTTGTTTTTTTGATGTGACTAACTTAGTGACTATTAGTTTATGCTGTATGTAAAGAAATCATCTCAATTCTGCTTTGCTATACTGATAGTAATTTCACAATAAGTATTTTGATTAGACCCCAAAGTGAGTCACAAATGAAATTTGTAACTCCAGTAGATTATGACTGACTTTTGCAACTAGTTAAAAAAATATGAATGATTTTTTTCAACTGCTATGCAAATATATCAATGTGCTGAATATTTAGTTCTATATCATTTTATGTATATTATATATATATTATACAAAACATACTTGAATATATTCAGCTAACTGTTCAATAAAGGAACTTTTAAAAGAAGAAATGCATTTAATTGATGATGCAAAATGGCACTAATAGTCTAATACTACATATTCCATGCATGATAAAAGCTTGATTGTTGATTTAAAATCAGTAAAGGACACCTTCTCTTTAGGACCCTTAAACTTAGTGTTTGAGAAAGATATGATAAAAATAAATTTCAAGTAGTAAGCACCATGTTTTATTATATAATTACTTGTATAAGGGTTTTCAACAAGTTGAAAAAAAACTCCAAGATGACATGGTGAATAAAATATGACTGACGATTTTGTCTAATTGTGATGATTTCGGGGCCTTATTTTGATTCCATACAATTCAGCTAATCAATTCACAAGAACTAATTATCAACTCTATTGTTATTGGTGGTCAGAATCAAAATTTTTAGATTGTAAAGAGGTTTTCTAAACTTTTTATTTGTATCGGGGACACTGATAGCATCAATTTGCACCATTCCAATTTTCATTCCGACATCTGTGGTTCTTGCAATTCCACTAAAACTAACACGTTTAATGACATCACTAAAGGGGAACTGGTGCAAATTGATGCTATCAGCGTGAGCTATACACATAAAAAAGTTTAGAAAACCTCTTTACAATCTGAATTTTGATTCTGAATTGTGTTAAAGATTGAGTTGGTTTAACTAATAATGAAATTATTTTAAAACTACACGTACATCATCTTGCAGATAACAAATATATTGGCTATTGAAATATAACTACTCTATGATTCAATTCTGGTGCTATATTTTTCAGATTTAGTTTTAACACAATCACAGTCTTCCTTAACAAGTTTTTCAAGTGAAAAATTTCAATGGTTTCGTCAACAATTTGATAATCTATATTTTAATATTAATCGTTTTAAAGGTAAGACTTAATAATTTATATTTTATTAAAACCCTCTTGGCTATTGGAATCAAGGTATAGGTCAATAGTACCATATAATATACAAGTTAATATTTACTATTGTTTATAGAATGGAGACAGAGGTTAAATGTAGATGATGAAATATTTCATGATGATAATAATGATGATGATGATGAACCTTCTCACACATTTCTAGAAGATATACAACATTTTACAGGTATTTCATACAGTTCTTATTTTGCATCATTTTAATAGAAAAATTAAATCCATGAATAAACTTGTGTAGGTGCCAATCATTCAAGATAATCTGATCAAGTCTTTGAGAAATAGATTGACTTATGTTAGTCATTTTATTGGTGCAATTATAGTCTAAAAGTTTATACACACATATCAGAAAACCTTTTTGAATCTTGAGAAAATTTTGAGTGACTAGTGACTAGATCTTGTCATCAATTGACATTAATGGTAAACAATGATATCAAACTTGTTCTAGGTGAATTTTTTTGTGATCTGGATCCCTTAATATAGTTGTGATCGACTAACTTTAGTCATATGCTTGCATACAGTATCCTTTGATGAGACAAGTTCACCATTTTTGGGGGTTGATTTGAGTCTTGAATATATGGAAATAGTCTTCAGAAGTATTAGAAATGTATGAAAATCACATAATTCCTTTACAAATTCTTCAAACTAGGAATTTTACTTTCTATTTCTATATATGGCAGAGTCTCTTTTAAACTTTTTAACTTTCAAACGTGGATAATTATTCACACACATGGATTTGAAGGCTCAAATTTCTACAGTGAGATGTGAACACTATTACTGATTAACTTAGCTAAAAACAATTCCCTTATCTGAAACTAAGGTACGATTGGTGAAATGGATTCAAAACTGTCCCTTTAAATTGTTGACTATGTTTTGTATTTTTCTCTATTTAATTTTTTAGAAAGAATTCGAGTTCTGTGGAGAGAATTACAGATATCACAGAAATGTATGATATTGTTTGGTGTTTTTTTGCTATCTTCACTAATTATTCAAGATTCTCAAAGTTCCACGGGGTTTCTACATGGCCTAATTTTACCAATTTTAGATATTGTAGTCAATTTTTTTACAAGTTTAATCTCAACCATTTTGTTTATTTTTATCCGTCCTTTATTATGTTTATGGAATATTTTGAGTGAATTGCTCATAGCTGTTTTTGAAATAGTCTATAGTTTATTTTATGCTATATTTTATGCCGTATGGACAATTTTACTTATACCATATGCCATATGTTGTGCTATATTTAATTGGTTTACTAATATATGTTATTATTTTGTTGAAACTGTGATAGCCTTATTAAGACTAGGTATTGTATGTATTTTAGTTGGTATGTCATATCTCTTTCTAGTAGATCTCAATCAACGAGAAGAGGCTTTGAATATTCTATTGAGAAAATATCAAACTATAAGATCTGCTTTACCTACTAAACATCAATTACGTTCTCATGCCAATAATTTTCAAAATCTTTTTGTAGCTTTTGTACATTCTTTAAGTCAAAAAGTTACTGAGCAAAATCAATTTCAACCAATGCCTACTGTAGACAATTGAGTATTGATATTACTAAATCATATTTAACATGATTAAATGTTTTGGGTTGATATTTAAACACACCCAAGTCCAATTCAAAACATAAGCAATTTTGTTTTTGGGTAAATTAAGTGGTAATAAGCTCTGTACAAACCAAATATGTTCTTTTTTTTTTGATAACGAGATTTACAAAAATATCTTGACTCAACTCCAAGAAGATCATTGGCTCAACCAATGTTCGTTAGTTTCCGTGTGTTAAACATTAAAGGCTGACATCTTGTCTGGTAAATTGGCAAGGGCAGACAACTCTGTCTGTAGATTGATTATGTTTGGTTACTGTAATATAGTAGTGATTTTGACACAGTCAATGTACTCTATAATTATAAATAATGCAGATTATAGATTCATAAACTGGATGACATACTTTGTTGTTGTAGATCTGATACTAAAAATAGCGTCATTTGAACGGAAACAACCAAACTATTATATTCTCAATACGTTGATCTCTAATCCTGAAGTTGATGTGAATGAAAGAATATTATTTGTGCCACTCAAAAAGTATATGGAAGGTTATTTTGCGGAACCCATTATTTGGTGTCAAATTGAAAATTGATAGTTGCAATATATCTTAAATTTTTGAAATTTCAAAAAAAGGATAATTTGTTTTGAAAAATAACAGTTTAAGAAGTAGCTTAGTGATGGTTAAAGCTACATGGTTTAAATCACTCCCTGTCCTATCATGAACTTCAACTAACATGGACTGATAATAATGTTTCATTTCTTGTTGTCTAGACTTCATCTTTAATTGACAAGGTCACAAAATATAAGGGGCATAACTCTCAAAATGTTCATGTAATCAGTAATGAATTTTGTAATATTAGCTATCTGTATTGATTTTACAGAATGAAAATTATTGTGTGGCTGGTCTGTAGAAAGGGTTGGTTGAGATTTATAAAACCTAATAATTTAACATTGTAAGTAAGTAATTGATAATAAATCTGAGAAATTCAGATTAAATTAAAATTATTGTCTAATAACTTATTTCTGAATCTAATCTTGTTTAAACTTTAAAGGGACAGGTGCACCATTTTGGGGGGTTGATTTGGGTGTTGAATATTATGTAAATATTAGTCTTCACAAGCACTAGAAATGTTAGAAAATCACAAAATTCCTTTACTCACTATTTCTATGTATGTCTTTTCTATATATCACAGAGTATCTTAAATTGACGAGTCATCATTTTAATATTCAAATTTGGATAATTCTGGACTAACATGTGAAGGTCAAATTTCAACGGTGAGTTGTGAACACTATTACTGATTGGCTGAGCTAAAAATAATACCGTTCCTGAGACTAAGGTACAATTGGTTCAAAAAATGGCTACCTGTCCCTTAAATCATGTGTTTTTCTATTCTTGGTGTTGAGGGTAGCTTTAACCAAGTTTTTACCAGTTTTTAGTGCACATGGTCAATGTGTCAAAATCATTAATAATAATAAAAGTTTTATTATTTCTATAAGATGAATTTGAGTTATTTGTAGTAGTTTATATTCAACTGATGAAAGTAAATGTCTGGTGATTATCTGTTTATTTGGAAATATGAAATCTCATATCAATTCAATATTGTCATATCAAGAGATTTTTTAGATTTCAGAAAGACAATATATATTTTTATTTAAGGGTACTATTAATTTATAAAAGGATGGTGTCTAACAGTATTATTAAATAGATTATACTTTATATTGTCTCACATCTTAATTTATCAGGTGTTTTGTTATATGGGTATAACAGTATTTACTATTTAACTAGGTAAGGTATTGTATAAGAGTTTCATATTGGTCATTGTCTCATATTGAGCTAGAATCTTATTATCAGCGTCTTCATAATGTCAAGGCATTACAAACTATCTTGACTTTATTAGCCATTTTTCTTATATCACGGAATGTTGCGATTTGATTTGATGGTACACAAGCGAATTCAGCCAATCAGATCCCTAGACAAACTGTCAACATTAGGCTTCTTGCTTATTGAGGCCTCTGATTGGCTCTATTTGCTAGCATACAATCCAACCAAATCACTGCATTCAACTTCTTTGATACACATGAAAGGTGTCTATTGCAGTCAAGGTTTAAGTTCGTAGTAGCTTGGCATTGTGAAAATGATTATGAAGTGGCCTATATATAAAATGGATTTAGTAAAGACTTCACTAATGTGAACTTTTTATTTCAACTAAATGTACCGGAATATTCTTGCTGTCTCAAGGTCATCAATTTTGAAGGAATTCATATCGGATTGAAATGTATTTGTAGATATTTTGTTTTATATCATATTATGATAATTAGAAAATGGCACCTTGGTTAAAATTGCAAAATTAGTCTGCATTTAAATTACATGTATATGTTTGTTTTATATTTGTTATTTTGATTTGATTGCATTCCTTCTTTGAAACCTTAAAGGGATTTTAAAGAGGTTTTCTAAATTTTTCATTTGTATTGTTGACACTGATAGCATCAATTTGCACCATTCCAATTTTGAATCAGACATGTGTGGTTCCTGCAATTCAACTAAAACTAAGTGTTTTATGACGTATAAAATGAGGACTTCTCAATCACCAAACACTTAGTTTTAGTGGAATTGCAGTAACCAGAGACATCTGATTGAAAATTTGAATGGTGCAAATTGATGCTATAGGTGTCCCTGATACACATAAAAAGTTTAGAAAACCTCTTTACAATCCTTTAACTATTATTCTCTTGTTATTATATATTGCCCTACCTATAGTGGATAAACCATATCTTTGTTAAAACTATATCTAGAACTAAACATAGAAAGAATGGCAATGGATACATACTATATATATATATATATATATATTGTCTTGATTATTATTAATTGTCACATTTAATTTAGTATTGACTTAAGTTGTTTTAAAGCTAAGAGTAATCTGTAGATAATGTTTCAAGTTAATTAATTATGCTAATGACTTGACTAGAATGATAATGATAATATATAGCCCAATGTAACCAGTATGTGTATATATACTTATTGCTCAGATCTGACTGATCACAATTTTTTATGAATTTTAAAAAGTTAAAAATGGAATGAAGTTAATAATAGTGTCATTAATAAATGATATTACATCAAGAAATATATTTGTTTTTCTATACTTCTATGAGATAAAACATGGTTAATATAAAGATGATATTTGAAACCTGTATCCCAAGGAATTTTCTGAGGGAAAGGGTTTTATTGTCATAAAAAATCTAATGTACTCCAGAGGATCACTGTCAAAATATCTATCAGAAATTGGTACAGAGCAGATATATTTATCTGAAGAAGCTCTACTCCAGCCTCTAATGGCTATTTTGACAGTTATCGACTGGAGTCCACCACCAGACAACTTTCAAAATAGATACCAGAGACTGGAAATAGAGGCAGATGTTTCGCACTAGCTAGCAAAATATATGTGATGAAGAAAATATTAGTTAAGTAAATCACACTACAAGGATGATTTTAAGAGAAAAAATTGCCTAATCCCAAATCATAAATTAATTTATTGGAGGTCATTTTACAAAAAACATTATTCTGTAATGGAGGACAGATGCCATTTTGGATTTCACGGTAATAAAATATATTTATAAATAAGTAAAAAACTACTAGTATCCATTTAATGACATAATAATAACAATCATTGACAGTCATTTTGGTATTTGAGGTAAAAAAAATATCAAGATTTTAAGCAATAGGGTAAGCAGTTGCAAGTTGTAAGCCTGCCTTGTGTCCTATATCATACGTCTGAATTGAAACAGCTGAACCGTTTAATGTAAATGAACATCTCTTTCCTGTATGTACCAGTGCACAAACAGAATATACAGCTATGTCGAATTCTGGTGATACACCAACGAAGAACGAACCAAGGCCTTTCCATATAGCATTCCATCTAAACTGACTACCGAATGTTCTCGGCTGAAAAATAGATTCAATTTTTTTTATTATTTTATATAAGTATGTATGTATGATTATTTCAATCAGTGATTCTCAAACAGAGTCCATATGCACCCGCAGGGTTAAATTCAAAATTCTGAGGTTGAACTTTTGAATGAGGAGTGAATTGAGGATTAGCATAGTACAGTTTTTAGTTTTAGAGCGCTACGGGTGAATGGCGGAAAATATTTCTCGAGGGGAAATTGGATCCTAAAGGTCGAGAAGCACTAATTTAAATCCTAATTTTCAGTTGCCCAGATTCACGAGAATAGACCAAATCAAAATCACAAAATTTGAAAAACTCCAACCGTTTAACTCAGAACCTATTATTTATAACTATTGGCGTATTTGTTGAAATACCAAATTGTTGTTTTCCAATTTGAATGTGATTGTATCCACGAATGACTATCGTAAACCTGTGTAGGTATTGACAGCTTTTTGAAACAAAATGGAAATATTGAAAATATAATTTACTGACCTCTCCTTGTGATACCCAACCTGTATAATCTAATCGACCTGGTTTCTCTTCAAGATAGAACTGAATCCAGTTGTGGAAACCGCCAACAGACGATGACTTCAATTCTCCAACCAAAATATGCTCAAAACCAGAACTATCTAGAATATGTTGGTTTTTGCTGGATCTTGGATACAGATTGAACCACATTTCTGTTAGTGTTTCTCTCCATTGAGCATCGTTATGAGGAACATAACCTAATAAATAAATTGAACACCAACTGAAATTGAACATGCTGATACCATTACAATTCCTGTTTCCATACCCTCCCCCCCATTCATAAGAATAGCAATAAACGACCATTTCCGAAACAATTTAGTCACAACTGACACACAGTCAATTTCACCAGAATTCCAAAGTGAATACTTGCCATTTGTATGTAAAAAGTTGTAAGCTTTTTGCATCACTGATGTTTCCAGTATGGCATCCAAGAAAGCGTTTATCTCTTGCCATTCTGTTTGGAGGATACTGTCTTGCTGTCCTACATTAATATTATAGTTGTCCAGTAATGTAATAAACGTGGCGTAAGTTGGCAGAGCAAACATAGCTTCATTAACACTTTGAAATAATCTGTAAAGAAAATAATTTAAAAAAAATATTTTCCAATAATTCCCTGCAGTGCATTCCCCTACTTAGCAGTAACGCAGGGGTTTTCATCCTTTTTTTCTTCATATTACCCCTTTCTTTATCCTTGATCGATTGTAATACCCCCGTTCTGCCAATAAATTCTTACAATTTTGTGATTTTCTCTTAGGTTTATCTTGAAACCTTTTTATGTCGGAGAATATATAGACTAACTGAATAGAACGACTTCAATTATAATTGCCCAAAAAATATCTACAATTCAGCGCCTTATTACCCCCCAAAAAGTTTGAAATGCCTTGCTCTAACACTTGAAGTCCTAGGTACACATGTATAGTATTGGAAAGTTGATCAACAGTTCCAAAAGTAACTGTCATGAAAAGAATCTTTAATCAGCTCGACTTGTCAATGGAGCTTTCATTCTTTCTTTAATTTGATCTTTCATTTTTATGTCATATCGTGTGCATTTAGGGTAATTTGTCAGGATTGGCCTTTTCAAACGGTCATTTAAAGTAAAACCTAAAAAAGTCAAAAATCATTTGACAAGCCTGAGTTAAATAAGAATATACCTTTGGCTTGCTTGATCTACTCTGTTAGAGTCCGTCACTTTGGTTTGGATATTGAGGGTGTATTCACTTTCAGGGTATCTATTGACGTCACTGGCCCACAAATCTTCCATTAAAGTCGTTAGATCTCCAGATCCCGTACCTGCAGAGATAACATGATCTTATTCAAAAGCTCCAGACACTCGGGTTAGCAGGTAAGATACCAAACGAGTTGTAAAGCAGTGATATGACGAAGAATTCCCAAGAAAATGTAAAAAAAAAATACTTAAACAACTTCAACAATTTGGTTCTGATGTGACGCCAAGATGCAATAGAAGAGCGAAACTGTTCGTAATCCACGATGGTTTAAAAATGCCACTCTAATCAAAATTAAATTACCCCTATTTAACCAATCAAATTCCTTTACTCTCCTACAAAATACCAGCGCTGGTGAGGGCAGAAATTGATTGGTTAAGCAGGGTTATGTAAAATGTTCAAAAGGCCCGTTTTACACCAAAACTGAAGTCCCTATATATTAAAATTAAAGCTAATAAAAAAAATGATCAGGAAATTTTAATTAGACTGACAAAATGCTACCTTCTTTCACCTAATGAGACCGTCGAGAACAATCCATTTTGTAAAGTAAATTTCTTACCACCACCACATAGAGAATCGTAATCGTTACAGCAATCATTGAACTGTTTACATTGTGAGTTACATTGACATGGTTTACTACTATCTAAATTACTTCCACATCGTCCAGCACAGGAACTATCTGATTGTCCAACTAAAATATAAATAATCAATGATTGAACAATATTTTAACGTGGTGATTGTATGATTTGCGTTGAATTTAAAGAGCATGGAGATTAAGATGCTACATTTTCCAAAATAGAACACCCAATACTTGCAATTGTTGAGATGTGTCCAAATTGACCAATTTTCCAGTTAAACTTGGATCCCTTTTCGTAAACTAGTAGAATACTTACGGCATACAGCGTCATAATCGGAACAGCAATCTCCAAAATTTGTACAAGCAGAATTACATTGACATGGCAGAGACTGGTCGACTGGATCGTTGCATCGGCCAACACAAGAGGTAGATCCTACAAATTAAAATAAAGTATTAGAACATCAACATTTATTCGAAGGGAACAGAATGTAGCGTGTATCAACTGGTCTCTTGGGAGATGCTGTTCCCGTATTTTCTAGAAAGGTCAGCTGGAATAATAGTTCTCTTCAGACCAGGAAGACCTCTTCCGACCAAAACAATAATTAACAATAAAATTATTCACCACGATTCCGTCTCTCTTAATCATTTCCTTTTCAAATTGAGTTTCATACTGCTTAAAAGTGCCGTCAACATGGAAAAGGGTCAACTGCTTGGTCAGCTGGAATAATGGATCTCTTTTGACCTCAAATAAGCTCTAAATAAATATTGCTCGCGTCTTATCTCAAAGTTTTTCGAACTGTGTTTTAAACTGCGTTAAGTGTCGGTGATATCCTTGGGTTGTTAACACAAATATCGAGAACCATACTTACCGAATGCGAATCCAACGACAGCGAAGATTGTAACACACCTTGCAAGCATCTTACTGTGAAGTATCTTTATTCTCTCCTTAATTGAAAACTCTTGGTACTCTTTTATATAGGGTACTGTTTTAATATTATTTACAATATCAATAAATTACTTCAAATAAAAGTGCCTCTTTTGGTGTTATGTCAGTGAAATTTATTACTTTCAAAGTGATGTACAACACTCTTATGATTGAAGTGTACTGACTTGATTTACCAATTCGACTTCAGATATTGTATCATTTGTCTTATTTTTTAACGGGACAGCGATTTTTTGTCAGTAAGTCAGAAAATTTAGATGCTCAAATTAAAGGGACAGTTGCGCCATTTTGGGGGGTTGATTTGGGTCTTGAATATATGTAAATAGTATTCACAAGTATTAGAAATGTAACACTATTTATAAAAATTTCTTTTGTATATATCACAGAGTATCTTATCATTTTAACATTCAAAAGCGGATAATTCTGGACATATGGGTTTGAAGGCTTAAATTTCGACGATGAGCTGTGAACCCTATTACTGATTGGCTTACTTAAAAAATTCCCATTTCTGAGACTTAAGTACGATTGGTAAAAATAAATCGTAGAAGGAATTCAACTGTATTTATTATTGTGATATGTTTCTAATGCAAAGGCCCCCAGTATTTAAAGTCGGTTTCCAAAAAGTTTATTCAAAGTGTTTCACTTCTGAACTATATATTTCTAAAAAAAATCTGATATGTCGACAATCATACATGATTGATACAGTTTTCTCTGGTCACATAACGGATTAAAATTTGATTATGTTACAATATAATTATATCTAAACAATGAATTTAAGAAATTTCTAACCACTCATTGTTGTTCCTTATCGTGCATAACCATGATTAGATTACTCATCATAAAAACAGTAAATGTTAATTTGACTAAAACAATCGATTACTTCATTTTAAATTTCATTACCCATGATGTACCAAGTATGTTATATAACGAGAAATGTATTCAAAGATTTCTTGTTAACAATTTACTTGTTCTTGTCAAGTTTCTCATAATGGTAATGGTAACAAGACAAAAAAATTCGATTCCCATAAGTGCAGACAGTTCTTTTTTTAGATTTTTAAGTGATTAAGTTTTACAGTTAAACACATATTTAAACCTTTTGTCAAAAACTATTGTATAGCAAACGGACCCAAAGCGAACATAGATCAGGGCGTCATGATTTTCAAGGCGGAATCTAACCTGAAAATAGAATTTATAAAAGTCTGATGAAACTTACCATCCAAATGTGATATAGTTACACTTTTGTGTTTGTCTTTACTGGGTCAATATTCTCCAAAAGTCAACATTTTCTGTAATATAGACTATATATACTTTTTTGTTAAATGAGATTTCTGTAGATTCATTAGGCCTAGTTAAAATGTATAACTGAAAATAAAGCATTGAGGAATTAATAACTAAACACAATGTTATTACATTACTAACAATATATAACTTTTTCGACGATGATATTTTCGTTCTTCAAGACAAGGTAAAAGAAATCCCTTTGAAAAGTATTGCTAATGGTGTATTCTTAAAACACACTTATTAAAAATTATGAGTGACTTGACAGATTAAAACTTTCACGACTTCATTGTGTGGGGAGGGGGGCTTGTGGGTGTCAGAGGGATGTTGTTACTGCAACTTTATGTTTTAGATTATTGCCAAAATTTGCTTCGAGAAACTTGTAACCCTGCTAAAAAGGTAAAACTCTCATTTACTTCAGTTTATTTTTGCTAAATAATTTTGTTGAATTGTTTTCCTATATATAACTAATTCGAACCACTAATATATACTCTGTTAACTATAATACTTTGATCTAGCAATAATAAATATACGAAAGATTCAAGTGATTTTATATGAATTATTACGGAGGTATGTAAGTCATAAATAACATCTGTATTAGAACTAGTTCACTGGATAAACACTATTGAACGTTTATTACGTATTCTCCTTTGACTCTAACCAGCTGGAAAAGAAGGAAACAACCATTTTTGGCAAAGGTAACTTAGATGCACAAAGATCCTTTCTACCAGTTGGTCCCGGGCAAAATCTTTTGGCATTGAATTTTCCCAGATTATCTGTCCCATATATAACTGGGTAGTAATACTCATGAAAGATCACTTAATCTTGTTCACTTTCCATTTAACATTTGCTCGGCATATTTTATAATGTGATCAATATGATAATCATTTCCAATTCATTTCATTGCGTTTACATCAGTGGACCATGGACCTGGTTGAGAGACACAAGGTAAACACGTCGTGAAGGTCTAGAGTATTTCTGATGATAATTGCAACATAGTCCCGATACTTCATAGAGGTGTTAGAACCATCACCTTACCGTTACATGGTTGTTCATCACTGTCATTTCTCAAAATCAGCATTAAACTCGTGGAGTATGGCTGACATTAGCGATCAATATTATCATCATTTTTAAGTCATTCCATTCCATTAAACAAAGCAGTATTGTGGTTACATCGGTATAGTTAACTTTTACATGGAATTTAGATCAATTATGGAATAAGTTCTTGTAGCTTTACACCTTAAAATAATGATATCCATGTACACTAAAGTGACTTCTAATAGCCAATTGTCATGTTTTACTAATAGTAGTGGACTCTTGTTCAAGCGAATCATGTCTTGTAAAGCATGTATAAAGTGCGCTGTAACTATGACGGAGTCTGGACACCATCCAACAAAATAGTTCATATTGCATTTTACATAGGTGATATGTGTTTATAATGTCTAAAACGGAAATTCGACATGCATTAGTTAGTGTGCCCTAGATTCTACTTGGTAATGATTTTTGTCAGTTAAAATGTTATCTGTAGGGTAAATATAATTTGTATTCATGCTCTTGTGTGACGTGTGACGATGCATTTTATCAAGTTTAGAGATTGTTCTTCATTTGTAATAACACATCCCACAACTGATAGTAACTAAATAAAGCAGTTTTACTGTTAAAGTATGATCGTCTCAAAGGTATATTTACTAGACCAGTAAGACTTCAGCTATGCAACTTACTGTCTGGTCCGATATTTATTACTATTTATGTCGTGAAATCGGTCAAATATCATAAATAATGGCATCTGGAAATTGGTTAAGTAAATAATTACCCTGTTTGTCATTTAATGTAGAAGAAAGATTATAGATTTAACAATTTTGGGGCTTCATCGCCACTTCTTCCTAACAATCCCCTACAGAAAGAGTTACAGATTTTTTTCACATTTCATGAACAACCTACACACAATCTACTCATTCATGCCAACAATGTAATCTCTCTCTTGATTAGATTTGGCCTTCTACTTAATTTGTAATTCTACTGAAAAATTTATTGGACGTTGAGTCGGTGTACATATTATAGAACAGGTTCAATCAGAATGTCACCAAGGAAATCCACTCTCCAACGATTTTAAGAAAGAGATGATGGAACAGTGTTTAAATAATTTTAATACACAAGTAAATATTACACTTAGGAATTTTAAATTTGTACATTCATTAATAGAATATAAACTCTTTAAGACATATTGTATGCCACTCTACGAGTGTCAGCTGTGGGATTATTCCAGCAAAAATATTCAACAATTTTTCTGCTCTTGGCGCAAAGCTGTTAGGATATGGCAACTTCCCAATCGAACCCATTGTGTTTTTTTAAATCTAATCTGTAATGACTTTTCAATTGAAGCCCAATTACATAAACGTTTTTTAAAATTTACACATGGAATAATAACTAGCAAAAATGTATGCACTAATATTTGTTCAAAATTAGCCTGACATGGCAGTCAATCTCCTATCTGCGATAGTTTGAATTATATATGCCATAGGTACAACATTTGTAAATATAATATTTGTAAATTATCATGTGGACAATTATCAGGCATGGTTGATGAAATGGATTTTAATATATACACCAATACCAATGATAAAATGACGGCAAGTACTATTAAATATTTTTTATTGTACAAAGAATCTTTGTTATTCTCGCAAAATAGTTGCGATATTGAAGATATTGATGAAATTATGAATTTTTTATGTGTATCATTGCATGTTTAATAGTTTAAATTGAATTTTTGTATAATTTGTTTTTTTGTATAATTTGTTTTGTATGTGCACTGAGTGTGCGAATAAAGTAATTATTAAAGTAATTATTATATAGGTAGAATTTGTTTTATTTTGATACGTTACCACTACCATAGATATCTGTATTGCAATATACTTCTAAGTAATAGACAGGAAGTTCGTCTCCGTTTTGCTTTCGCGGACAATTGACTTGACAATTCAATTCATGGTTTGTCGTATTATCGGAAGCGTCTAGCTTAGTGATTTTGTCGGTACCAAAAGATTTTCTCCATCTGATTTAATCACGAACAATGCTAAAAATTATTTACAGATTACAAAGTTTCGCTGTTGGTTGTTAATTCTCCATGTTTGACGACTGTAGGTCTTTCAAGCATATTTTCTGTTGCCTCCGAATCTTTCACCACTTCCTCTGAAATAAAAGTTCGAGATTTCATTAAAAATTCAGCTTGGTCTATGAAGAGTAAACTGAAATAACTGTGCAATTCATATAGGATTTGATAGCTAACAATGATAGTTGTTTTTATATCAGGATGTCAGTGCCACAGAACAGTTGAAGAACGGGTGCCAAACACTTAAAATTATCAAGATTTTGATCATACAGTGAACGACGGTTGCCCTCCTTCATAATCTATATTTTGTATGCACAAAAGCCAGTTAAAGGACGAATTCGTTGTCTCCCACATAAACAGGCTTAAACCGACCTGATACTTCATTAAGAAGTTGAAAATCTAATATGTAATCTAGAAATCAGTGAAACATTGGATTTATATTCGACGAAATCCATGTAAATTTTCTGTGTCTGTGACACAATTGAAGATTATTAACAAGGAAGTTCCTATCGTTTGATTTCAATATCGTCGTTCCGTGGGTATTCTTCTATCATGTAAGATTAAAGGAGCGTACTAGCTATTTTATGTTGATTGTGACGGTTGTAGTGGTGAAAATATTATGTTGGGTAGGTTGAATTACTTCAAATATGTTTAAAATAGGCATACCTTTCGTACTATAACTTTCTTGCATAGGCCAAACTCGATCAGTTATATTGAATATTATCAGTAAAATTAAACAGGATGCAGAATATGACCTCCATACCCATCTGGCATCATATATCTGGAATAGACTTCCAGTTAATATAGCACCAAATCCGCGACCTACAAAAATTAAGTTTTTTTTAAAGTTGGTACTCCAGTTCCTTTATGATTTCTGTCCTCTCGGGCTATCCCGTTTACTCGCCTAATGATGACGTGACAGAATGTAACAACCATCGAGGACGATCGACAGCCTTGATCTGAAAATGTAATTTGAATCCACCTACATCGTCTGTATTTTGCAATGTCAGGATAAAATAGTCATAGAAGAACATCCAACCCTTTCTTCCGTCCTACTATCCAGAACAATTTCTATGTTATTGGGCTTTGTTCAGCAAGAATGCAAAAACAGTTACTTTCTATTTCCGTAAATAAGTTTTTTACCAGTGATATAAAAACAAACCCTGAACGTAGGCTGCTTTGTATTTATTCCGAATTTTGGTATGGAGCTTCGAGTATCAAGTATTCCGGTAATTTCAGTGTTTCATCAATCGAAAAGATCAGGACAAGTTCAATAATAAGCTTACCCAAATCGTTGTAAATAGCCCCAGTAATACCTTGAAAGGTACCATGACTTCCAGTTGGTGATATTAAATTCACTTTAGAAGAGATAGATGACCACAGTAATGAATAAGTCACTCCATGCAACAGTTCTAATGGTATAATATACCACTTTGAGTTTATAAACGAATGGCCGACAAAACGTAAAACATAGGCTCCGAGGCCGAAGTTAATGCATACGTCGGGTCCGCATAGTTTTAATAGCTTTGGTGTAAACTGATGAACACAGACTGACGAGACACAATTTATAAGAATTATTATGGCCAAGAAAGATTCATGAATTCCAATATCTTTCAAATACCAGAACAAAAAATTCATCATCGATCCAAGACACATCCCGAAGTAAAGGATTTTTAAGTAGAAAAACATAAGATGTACACTGCACATTTGATTTTTAAGAGTTGAATAGAATCGAACATTTGATTCATTGGCCACATTTACCTCAATAGGAAGTCCTACTAGGAATGTCAGAAGAGTAAATCCAAGAAACACATAAAATATACCATTATAGTAAATATCCACTACGTATACAATACTACTCACTGAAATAAGAGTTCCAACAGTGCCCCATAGTCGTTGCTTACTGTATAAATGTCGCTTAGGATGAATTATAAAGTATGTTATGGTGTCTAAAATTGTCTGGTGGCAGGAATACGAAACTTTAGCAATAAAGAACATACAAAAAGTAATCCCAGCAGTCCAATCAACGGTCCACGAAGTAACTAGATCAGGGGTGGTTCCATTGTTGACGTTGATCAATGTATAGTCACAGTTGGTGATATTCTTTTGAAGAATCACTTTTGTAGTTTTATTCAATTCATAGTTTGTGGAATTAAATTTTTGTGACAAATTTACATCACACGCAGATACGTGGTGATTATGTTTTGACTGACTTCTCGCAGGTATGAACATAAATGAAAAATATCCACAGCCGAAAAGAAGAAGGGTTAGTAACAATAACGTTTTATATCTACTATATTTATCTGCTAATGCCCCCACAAAAGGCCTGAATAGGAAACTACAGATTTGTGTTACACCATTTATAAATCCGGCTTCAAGAGTTGTCATTCCAAGATACTTTAAATGAACCATAATCAAGGGAAGAAGGGAACCGGCAGCTGAAATTCAGAATAAGTGTAAGATGGTGTACAATGACGATGAAATTAAAATAATTGCTTACTCTTTCCTGAGTTACTGATCTCTTACTTTCGCAGCACTAATCGAATTTTGCCGATCATAAAATAATGACTTAAAATGGTACTAGTAGTCTGTAAGGTGTAAATATAACAATTTGTAAGTTTCAATCCCTGAAAGTCTCAGAATTTGTCTGACAATTACCCTATTAAGATTCAGCTATGGATTAAGTCATTGTAAATATATAAGTAAATATCACATTACCTCCATAATTAAAGAAATAATAGGCCTTTAACGGCAACAGACGTCTGTTCACAATCATTATGTGTCTGCTAAAATGCATTCTACATTTTACCTATCTTTCAGGTCAAAGGGTTAAAACTTCTTATATCAACGTTTGACCATGAATAATATTACATATTAAAGTACTTATAACCCACAATTATTTCATAAAGTTAGTCTCTTATCAATGACACCAGAGCATCAAATAAACTCATCCAGAACCATCTTTGTTATATTATCGCTGGCCAAGATCATGCAATATATATATCTCTTAAAGTGAAGTTAGGCAACAAATATATCAGTTTCAAAAAGGTGGTAGTATCAAGTTTTTTTCCGATTTCCTCTCGGGAAAAGACAACTTAAAGCATGGATTGGAGCTATCAGCGAAGTATTTTGTAACGAAGGATTATTCTAGTGTTTTCGGTAAACTTTTTGTGAATGGGTGGCCAGACTAAGTCGATGAATTCGAGGTGTATTTTGCACTGTGTTTTCACATACAAGGATGACCTATTGGAATAGAAAAAAGCAAACAGCTTAGCGATAATGATATAGAAGCCAGAAAATCTAATGCGTTTGAAGGTATGCTTGTAAATATTGGTAAAACATAGCTTTGAAGACAATATCGGTATTTATCATAAGAAAATTCCCCCATAATCATCATGTATTTGTAGGAATACTACAAATTGTTTGGCTGGCATTTCAGGATCAACATGCCAGTGTCAGTAATATCTTCATTTTTTCTGCTTACCTACCTTACAAAATTGTCTCCGGCGATCGTTCTTAAAAATAAGTAAGTTTGTGAAATTGCTAACTGTATAAGAGTAAGTGTCGGAATATGAGGAATATGAGTCCTCCCCATGCTAAGCTGTTTACATTTCAATATTTGTGAATTATCAGTTTTAGTACAGCCACCTTTTTCTCTTCTTTATACAGTCAATTTTTTAAAAAAAAATTCATTGACTATAAATATTGGACTTTAACTCCAGAACATATTTTCTTTGAATTTTTAGGATCGAGCATATATCTGCTCTTTCTTCCATTGTTTTATATCAGCATGTAGCTATCGTGCTTTTTTGTCATTTTATTAACAATTATAAATGTGTACAGAAATATTTTGGATATGATTATGAATTATAATGTAAGAATCATCTGAAATTTTTTTTTTCAAATCTCAAATGTGTTGGTTTGTACAAGTTACACTCAAATACAATTGGACAAGATGTAGGACTGTATATATACAACATTCACAATTCACGAGATAGTGGGTGCAGATTGTGTTCAGATCGTGATGTCAATAGGATATCAAAAATTGTCAAAACGTTGTGAATTCTGTCTCTTGGCATAATGAAACACGATTGCAAAAAGTTGATGCCACCAATTCAGCTTGGTAAAGTCACAAAACTTTTGTAATGAAACTGATAGGTTATACCAAGTTTTTAATATGTAAGATACTTGAATGTTATAAAGCTGAAAGCCAGTTGTCACTAATTTCTCTATACCAATATCTACTATGGCAAAGAAGGCAAAGCGTCGGTGGGCTGGTATTCGTTTCTGTTGTTGGTCAGGTCGGTGGTTACCTCTTGATTGGTAGGTGTTGTAGGTAGGTCGGCGATGGGGTGGGATATAGCTGGATGGGTTGGTTGGTGGTCGGCAATTGGTAGGTGGTAGAGGGCGATGGAAGACACGGCCATTGTAGGGTACGTGATGTTGGTTTGGTTGACGATTAGTGTTTCTATGTCTGGCTTCTTGCCAGTGGTTGTTGTAGTTGGGGAGCATAATGAAAATAACTTGGGGTTAGAAGGGAATGTACAGCGGATGTAACAGGAGGAAACTGTATATGCTAGCGTGAAAATGTGGGGATCAAATTATGCAAATAACAACTGGGTTTGGGGATATATAAAGTAAGATGAAAGTTATGATGAAAAATGCAAAAAAAATATATTTAGGTGATAAATAACACTAACAATGATGTGAAAAATTATAACAAGTAAAACAAAAATGTACAGGTCTAGGGGTGAAACTTAATAGAGAAATTGGGACAAAGGGCCTGAATTCTGGGTTTTCTTCTGATCTAATGACAAGCAGTATAGTACCTGTTAATGTTACTGATTGTTTGTTATTTTTTGTTTTCGGTTTCCACTACAATCTAAAAGGATTTAAACCAAGGTTATATGAATTATGAGATAGCATAACCGAAAGTACAGAGATATGACAAATGAGGTACGAGACTACTCGCTTGTAAAAGTGATTTTGATTGGCGGGAGTGTTTCGCGTGATTGGCTGCTATAATTAGCTTGTAGTGTTACCAGTACGCGACCATGGTATCAATCTCGTTAGATTATAATAGAGACAAAAAAAAAAATAAAATAATTAAGAAATTAAATTATAATCTAACTTTAATTAGATTGCGTAATAAGTGGCTCCAGGAGCCTCTGCTAAACCAGCCAATGTCACTAGATCGTACATCGAACATCTATTGTTAAAAAAAGTGAAAGATCGGCAATACCGGTGTCGGAAACAATAATAAGCACATTTTACTTGAGGTGTAGAATCATAAACAGCCAATGGTGCCAAACTGCTTGAGATGATCATGTCCGATTTTAATAAATCGTACTTTCTTCTTCTTGGCAATTGCATGGTGCATTTGTTCTTTAAATCTGTAATGTGAAGAAAGTAATTAGATTTTATCACTGATCTTTGCTATTTATATAGATCCATGAATTCAATGGATACGGTATGGGAAATAGGACCACAATCCTTTCGAACACCAAGCTATCGTGTCCCACTAATTATCAGATTGTTACTGTGTTTCGGACAAAAAGAAATTCCCCATTCTTATTGTATATGTGGTAGTAGCTCACAGCTCCTTTAATTGAAACATCCACGACATCCCTTAACGTGTTAAATGTGGAAAGAAGCCCAAGACAAGGACCGTGGTATGGTAACAACCCGCATTGAGGTAATAATGAAGTACAATACCACAATCATTTCGGTAACAGGCCCTGTTGTTACATTTCAATTGGATGTCGATGGTCCAGATCAGTATGATAGGATGTTTTATACTGTTAATAAGCTCCGACTTAATTGACATCACTTCGTACGAATATTGCATTAAGGTTTTTATTCATATTATTAACGGCAATATTTCCTACAGAGTTACCTAGATATAGTCGTCTAAATAGTTATCTGATAGTAATACTATATTTTAGATGAACAGAGCACTTTTCAGAGATAAAGTCCGACGCAGGGTGCTCGTAAATTAAACATTTATTAAACAATTAATATTCTTAACTGTGGTTCTGATGCACGTCATAAAAATGTCGATGAAATACTCACCCGATGAGACATTATCAGCTTCGTTGAGACAGGTATCGTGGTTAGAGAAGATGATATTAGAATCAACAATACTGAACATGACCAAACATCTGATAAAACCTCTGTATCCAGGAGTATTTGTGTCCCAACTGCCAATCTCCACAAATGACATTCCACTTTGATTAAACATGCCACACGAATCGAATGCACTGTTAATGATGTCATTATTGATAACAATTGCCATCGTACCATTGGAAATATCTCTCCTTATTCCAACCAAGTACCATGTACTGGTATTAAACATATTTGCTGTCGAAATGAATCCACATTCAGTACCGTTTATAAGAAATGCCCGCAGAACTATAAAATTTTCGCCTATGCTTAAATCAAAGAGTTTCTGCTCATATCTATCGGTAATATTTAGAAGAGAACCTGAAGTTGGTTTCTGTACATAGATATTTATAACCAAAGTAAAGTTGGAATCCAACTCCTCACCATTAATCTCTAGGCGCAATACAGATAAAGACGAACCATCCATGAGTATGGCATTATTTGGTAAATTTGGATGCTCGTCTCCAAATCGTAGGCATTTGTGCTCATTTTTTTTGAAGGTTTTCATATCCTTTGTAAATCCTTTGTTATCCATTGTCCAAACATGTGATGATAAAAAGCATGGTGGATCTGGAGTAAAGAAAATTAAATTCATTTGTAATGATTTTAACATCGATTCCATGATTTTACATTGATTACAATGATTATGTTGATGGCAATGAGTATACATTGATAACAATGATTGCACATTTGTTATGATTATACATTGATGATAATGATTATACATTTCTAATGATAATGATTATACATTGATGGTTATGATTATACAGTGGCAATAATGGTTACAATTACTCCAATGATTGTAAATACAAAACAATGATAATTCCTTAAATACAATACTATTACTTACTGAGTGTTTTTTCTAATAACTATAACTAACCTGGTGGATTCCATGACCAGTTACTCTTTAAAGCATTTTTGAGAAGATCCTGTTCATCAAATCCCGAGTCTGAATTATACAAGGCAGCGCCTGTCATTGATCCTATGTATTTACTCCCACCAAATGTGAGTCTTCCAGGGGTAATTAAAGAACAACTCTTTAAGTGGTTTATGGAAATTATTTGTGTCTTGTTGTTCACATAGAGCGATAACCTGCTGTCATTGAAATTATATACTAACACTACCATCGTCCATGAGTTTAGTGTAACGTTTAATACAGAGTTCGGGGAACCGCAAATGGACGTCAACGAACAATTTTCGGTTACTTTCATAGTTGCCGTTACATTCCCCGCTATTACTTCTGCGTGCATAGTCAATATACCTTGGACAGTGGTTTGGTAATCTGCTTCATAATGAAATAATACACCCTTATTAGTTTCTGTTTTGAAGAAGAGGGTAAAAGCTATATCTGAGTCTGTAATATTTGGGTCGGACGGTATCCTGACATCAAGATATTGAGTTCCATCAAAATATAATGAGGTATAGTTCAAATCCGGATGTCCTGGTCCAGTGGGAAAACAGTCAGATAGTGAACTATTATTTTGATCGGTCATGACCTCTAAATCGTTCGACAATCCGCTCAATGGCCACAAATATTTTGGTTTATTCATTGCATCAGTCATCTTACAACCAATAACTGAAAATTGAAGAAAAGAATCACATTTTGTATCAATTGCGATCGCCAATCATCAGTTATAGTATTTTGTATTTTTGCCATTTGCATCCTAGTTTTTATCAATATTCTAAAGATAGACTGCCTAGAAAGGTAATATACGCCCACTGGCAGCTGATTTTGAATTAAAATATTTGATAGTACAGTAACAATCACCAGTATGAATTGATACTAAATAACATTACCAAGTTTTGTAGAAATCAGACAAGAATCATGCTTTTTAGTGTTTACGAGCTAAAAATTTAACCCTTTCAACCCTATGGACCGGTTTACCTGCAAAACATTAACGCAATATGTACCCGAGCAGCCGGTATACTGACCGTTCCTAAGCGACGTCATACAACTTTAAGGTCATACACTTTTACTTTTATTACTTGGAGTTCAGGGTATATGACATTATAATTCATTTAAACTCAGGGTTCACAGGGTAGCGTTTTCAAACACAAGGGCAATAACTCATACTGAATATCTTTAAATTCTCCTATGTTCAATGAGGTTCATCCTTGGGTGATCAACTCACACCAAGTCTGTCAAGAATTGTTCCTACAATAGTGTTTACGGGCTAATATTAACGCGTTTTCAAAAACAAATCCAATATATATTAAATATTTTTCGATTTTTCTGATTTTTAATAGGTTTCAGCCTTGGGTGATAAACACTCACAGTGTCGTCAAAATCTGTAACGAATTGTGTCTTCTGGAGTGTTTGTGAGTTAAATTGAACGCGTTTTCAAGAATAAGGGCAATAACCCATGCTAAATATTCTTGGATTCTTCTGATTTTCAATAGGGTTTATCCTTGAGTAATTACCTACAAACACTCACACCAAATCTTTCGACAAAATCCGTCAAGAATTGTGCCTTCTAGAGTGTTTACGAGCTAAATATTAAACGCATTTTCAAGAACGAGGGCAATAACTCAAAATAAATATTTTTCGATTTTTCTGGTTGATAACAAACACTCACACCAAGTTTCGTCAAAAACCATCAGGAATTGTGCACCCTAGAGTGTTTACGGTGACTTTACGAGCAATTCTAAACGGTCGGACGGACGGATCGACATGGGTGACGTCAATGTATGCACCCTCCCCCATGTCAGCGTATCAAAATTACTTGCCGTATTACCTATTGGACCTTATCAACAAGACAGACAACTTTCGAGTACCCGAGTACCCAGAGTATAAAGTATTGATAGAAAAGTGAAATTCTTAATTTGGTATTGAATTAAGTTGAAGGAATTATACGATTATCGTCCAGAACTTCTGAAGACTGATAACATATATTCAAGGTCAAATCAACCTCCGAAAATGATCAACCATGGCCTTTACAGTCACAAATGACGAATTCCTCGCAACGAATATTGGCCACTGTAAAAATACGGCAACCAATCGCTTCATTTAATCTTTAATCATATTTTAAACTAAAGTGCCGTTTGTCCGTGTCTCTGTGAATGTGTTTTAGCATTTGTTGGTAATGCAGTACCAATCTTGAATGTACTGAACCAATGTCATTATTAGTGTCTGAAATCTTCTATGTTTGGATTCTGCTGGAAATGCTTGGTCGTTTTGACATGTATGATAAATTCAATCAATTTGGCATTTGGAGAGTTAAACAACCCTTTCTCGCTCTATGACATATCACCTTTTAACACTATGAAATTCATAGTTCACAACGAATAAGTAAAAGTCTAAAATGAATCTACAACTACAAGTATTCAATAAATACCAAATGTCTTACCTAGAAATAAAAAATACTGCCACATGTTTGGTAACCTGTCAAAAAACTTCCGTTAGTTGGTAGATGACAAGTTAACGTCTGATTCCAGTTAACTAGTATCACAGGCTGTCTGTAACACTGGTTGGTTGGTAGATGCCAAGTTAACGTCCGCTACCGGTAACTAACGTCACAGGCAACTATTTGAACATTAACTACTCGTATAGACAAGCTATTATATTAAAGATAACAGGGCTGTTTTCATTTTATCGATCAAGTTACATAAAGTTTTTAATTATTACAAATTTTATACAGATGGAATGCCATTCCGTTCTGGTTAGGTTGCTTTGTGTTGTGTTTTATTATTCATAAACACTAAAGAAACATCAAGAATTTTCGCAGATCATGATGGTGGTATATGGCCGTTGATAATATAAAGCCATGGGGTCTCGCACAGAGCTAGTAGTTGAACACGATATTTTACATGTCCATTTAATGTTGAAAGTTCTTTGAGTGAGACATTAACCTATGGCCTTTTGTACTACAAACTGTGGACGTGAAAATAGTTAATCGTACCCATTCGGCAATCCTCGGCAGCTGATTCTGTCCCCGTAATGTTTGGTTATTTCATTGTGTTTTCTTGGGCGAAACTCTTCTTCAGGCAATTTGCAGTGATAAGAATCAGAATATAGTCCATAATATTATAGCTTTGGGAGATAATAGTTATTATCACGTGGCAATATTGGCATGGTTCCGGCAAACTATGGCTCCCATTCATCACCGTGATATGTTGCAAAGCGCTAGAGGAATTATCTATGTAGGCCGTTTGAGTTGCACCTTGGTACCTTGTTCAGCAAGGTTTATCAGTAATTTGTTCACAGTTTACCGTCAATATGTTAAGCATGTATACCGAATATTTGCTACAACCACCAAGATCGGCACCCGCGGCCCTAACAGTAACACAGAGACTCGCGTCTAAGGCTTCAGCGATGACCACTTACCCTCTTAATCGTCTACGGTCAGTTTACATATTCAAGGCCTAAATTAACCACCAAAAACCTTTGACGATACCTTGACATTTGGAAATCAAGGTCGCTGTCTTGACATAATTGCCCTCATTGCCGACGATGTCAGCGTTCATAAGTCAACCGGGGTATGGAACTAAAACGTAAACCTTTAATTTCATTCCAAAACTAGCAACACAAAACATTTTGTCCCCGTATTTAAATCACAACTCCCTATTCCTATTCTAATCGTGTCTTTAGTGTTGTTACGCATTAAAAGACAAGGAACCCCTTGAACAAATAACATTCTTTTAATACATGTACTATGATAGTGGCGTATTAATAATATTTATAAGTAAGAGTTTTTAGACTTAGAGGAATTCGGAGCATCCATAATAGAACATCGATTTTGAACTGTCACATTTATCTTTTTTTATTCGCTACGTAAAAGGCCACAGTTTGCCATTTTCGTGGGTTGATTTTGGTCTTGAAAATATGAAAGACCAGAACTGCACAAAAATCGCATGGTATAATCCTAACAAACTATAAACTTCACTTTCATTTTCAATTTTATGTCTCTTCCATAGTGAGTTGGAGTGTCAAGTGAAGTCGTCATTATAATATTCAGTGGCGTTTATTACGGGTGACAGGAAGGATCATGCCTCCCGGAAAATTTTGTTGCCCCTTCTCCGTCTTTTTTCAAATATTATTAGAAACGCCACTGTACTCAAACGCGGATAATTATTAATTTTTAATAAACTTAGTGTCAATTTATGCTAATATTTTCGTTTACCCATCCGATAAATCATACGCCTTTTCAAAATCACTATAGCATATCTGAGATTAAGAACTTGTGAGAGCCATCACCGATCTCTTGGGACCGATGCCTAACAAAAAGACCTTTGTTTAAATATCTTTCATAAAATTACTTATTAAGAATTTTTTGCTGTTGTGTCTATTGGTTTATTTGAGTTTATTATTGAGTCTCATGTATGTAATGCCTTGTTATTGTGTGTCTATGGGTTTATTAGCATTGCTTTGTTGTTGTTTCTCATGGGTTTGTTCGGATGCCTCATTATTGTGTCTATGGATTTATTGTGGTTACCTTGTTATTGAGTCTATAAATTTATTGGAATTGCTGTGTTATTATGTCTAAGGGCTTATTGGAATTGCTCATGGGTGTATTGGTATTGCCTTGTTATTGTGTGTCTATGGATTTATTAGCATTGCTTTGTTGTTGTTTCTCATGGGTTTGTTCGGATGCCTAATTATTGTGTATATGGGTTTATTGGGTTTTGGGGTAGACAGGGTATTCTTATTATTGGTCCCCATGAATGCATTGCCTTGTTATTGAGTCTCATGCGTTTTTTTAGATGGCTTTGATAATGATATCGTTTTTCATGTGCTTATAAGAATTTTAAAATTATTGAATCCCACGGAGCTATTGAAATTTATGAATTTACAGAGATTGCTATCAGGCTATATGAGTTTATTTGAATTATGTTTCATAAATTTTAGATATGACGATTCCCGTTTAATTTTTTAGTCAGGAACTTAACCAGTGACAAACATCTGAGATTAGATAGGGCCTCTTAGTGAAGTACTGTGCATCTTCCAAAATGCAGTGAGATTATTATATATTTAAGGTGAAGACTTTCAATGTGTTAAGTATTTATATGGGGGATTCATATTGATTTTGGGATGCAGACATCAATTTTAGATGCTTCCAGAATAACACGCGTGTGTTGGTGTATTAAAATCACAGGACTTTTGTACTAGATTAGAGCAGGTAAATGACGAGTGCTTTCTGTAAAAGCAAATACTGAAGACATAATGTGTGCTTATGTATATATATATTTTTTAATTAATCCTTATATTCTGTTCTTTAATACCAAGATTTTGTCTTAGGTTTGATTTCCCTCCATACCGACTTGAGGCACGACAGAATTTATTCTTCGTAAGTTCAGTGACCACATTGAAGAAATGCACAAAAAGAGTTCCTCAAGAAAAGATACCAAAGGATAGAGACAGTCTATAAAATAGAATACACCCCTGTATGTTCACCAGCAGGTTTATTGCAATGTGCCTTTGAAAACTCAATTCAAAAGGAATGTTAGTGTAAATATAAAACAAGTGGTTGCCTTGCAAGATACGCCCACTTCCCTGATACATTTTCAGTATATAAAGGGCGGTCACCAACTGTGTCAAATCATGCCAAAAATCTAATTTCAACAGACGATCTCACCCTAATCCCGATTGAGCGCATAGATATTGATTTGCCCGAAGATGAAACTACCAAATTTCGTCAATCTAGGGAAGCCCATTGAGACATTGAATACAGCAAGACCTATAGGACTAAATATTCACCATAATAAAGGCATAGCACCCTTTGTTGTGCCGTTCAATACAACCAGCAATCGAGCAAGCAAGATAGTTCATGCCCACTATAAGAGCCTTCAAGAGAAATTCCCCCATGTCTATAAGCAGAAAATGATAGTTCCATATCAAAAATAAGAACTTAAATGATAATATTGTTCATAGTACACTAAAAACAATCAGTTATAATGTGGGCGTATGAAAACCCTTTTGGGTTAAAATCAATCTATAGGTTAAGGTGAGACTAATTAAATTGTAGTAGCTAATTATTAGATGATGTTTTTAAAAAATTAAGTCGAGGTGATAATGTGAGGGCACCGTTGGAGGTGCTCTCTTAACTCAAAATAAATTCTTCTCCTACACCAGTTGGTCACACCCCTGACATCCTAGTCCCACCCCCAGGGGTGAAAACATCCTAGGTTCGGAACTAGGGATCTAGGGGGTCCCAGAACATAATTCTATTTATAACTGATGGACGAGTTCTGAAAGACAATTTTCTTAAAATATAAACTGGGAAACCTTTTTGAAACAACAGTATTAATCACAGGAAAGATAGATTTTGTACCAATTGTTTTTAGTCTCTAGATTGGCAAAACTGCTTAATCCAATATATCAGGAAAGACTTTCCGAAAAGGCGGAATACTTGATTACTTGAAAAAGTAGCTAGGAACAAACAGACTCGTATGATTTCATACCGGGAATAATACAACCTAAGTTAAACCACAGACCCTTGAAGTTCTATCAATATTAATAAAATATGGGCAATGTGGAGAAATTAGTCAACGTATATAAAATAAGAGAAGGCTTCCAATGGTATAATAGGCACAAATGTAAACAATGTTTATTTGTTCGTGAAAGACTTCTGCCTTTCTTGGAACGAAGGACTGCTTACTTTTTATTGGATATCAATCAAGTACTACTCGACAAAAACCACTTATGTCTTGTTTTTGGAAAATAGTCATTTTCCATTAGCAAAACACCACTTCAGTCCCGCACAAAAAATTTGCATAAGTGTAAGGGCCCACAGTAAAACATTCAACATTGTGTTCTAACACCACTAAGAAATAGGAACTCATGAATTGTGGTAAGAGGTCAGTAATACAGACATTATTTTACACCTGATAAGTTAATGAGAAATATACTTTCATTAGTTAAGTCCCTTGGACTATTAATAATTCATCTGTCTAGTCGCAAATTTTTGTTGGCACAAGTCTATTAACATTTGTTGTGTAGGCTTATATTGAGCAGCTATGACGGGTTTGGCTCCAGGTAAGGTACCGGTATGCTTTTTATTCTATATCCGATACCAATTTTCATTATGAAATACTTGCACACTTTTGGTTGATAAACCCCATTAAGTGCAAATTTTGCGATTAAATCTATTAGAAAATCTTTCCAAAAGGTAGGATGGTCTTTCAGCACTTCGTGAATATATTAATTCCGGGTGTTTTCTTTTATGCATTTGTTAGCCTACATGATCAAGGAGATACGATGTGATTGGTCCATCATGTCATACTTAATGTATCTACATCTGATAACAATCCAGAATTTTGTTGATAATTCTCCAATGAATGGATTATTTGCAGACTTTTATTTCTGAAAGATTTGGAACTTTAATAAAGGTAAAAAAGAAGTATTTCCCATTATTGTACTTCTTGAATTTAACATT